AACCCCTTCCAGGTGCCATTCTTCTAGCTCGTACATATCACAATAGCATGAACAACCTTCCAGAGAATGCTGTTGGGCTTTCCCCTAACAAGGCTATGGCAGGAAAGACATGTAAAGATTACTATTATCAGACAGCTAAAATAATCAAGTAGTGACCCTGATAAAACAAGTGGAGAAAAATAGGTGTAAGGAATTGCAGCTCCCAGTACTTCAGCCAGGGTAGCACTCATGAGGCTGGCAAGACGCAGACAATTTTAAGGGCGTCTTGGTTCATTGTATAGACACAGCCCTATCTAGCTGCCAAGCTAGAGCATGTTACTTGTGACAGCAATTAGCAAGTTAATGGCAAAACTTTATAATTATGCAAGACAGGCAGCTGATGAAGCAGAGGAAGTTCCAGCGAAGACATCTTCCTTAGGACCAGGTCAAGGAATGCAGGGCATACAGACCAGGGAAAGTTTCACAATGTGGCAAAGCATGCAATTTCCCTTGCGGAGGATCTCAAAGTCTGATGCTTCCTTTATTGCACTCGTATTGAGGACGCACCCGTCCAGGCTTTTTACACTCGGGGAAGGTTTTCTAAGCTCTGTCAAGTCTGACCCTTTTTAACATTCTACCAGGACAGTAGTGATGTCCCCCATGCGCAGCTTTGTTCCAAAGGTTGTGTCCTAATCACGATTAGGTTGTGCCCATTTACCAGGACAGTGACTCACAACAGTCACATGCTATGGATGTTGGAAAAGCTTTACAAGCAGACATGCGCATAGTTTAGAGCGCAAGAAAAAGCCTTCATCAGCCGAAAAAACAGAGGTGTCTAATAGAACAATTGCATCCAGGAACATAGGTATTTTGCAAACAAAACCCCTAGCAGAGGTAGACTGTCATCCTTATGGGTTACACTACATACTATAGAATTTAGGCCTATTGGGAAGGTGGGTTTCTGCATTAAGCCATTTACCTTTTTAAGAGACACCGTCACCTAGTCCATGCAGGGAAAAGTGACGGTGTCTTTGTAAAGGCCACCCTCCCTCATCTTTTATACACAACTTACCAAAAAATAAATTGAAATCCAGCAGCTCCTGCCTCCACTGAAGCCAGAACTTAAATCCAAGGTGTCAGCTGGGGTTGGATCAGAAGGGTAGTACTGACAGTATGTGCCTACACAGATAGTGGTGATAGAAGCAGGAGCAGCGAGGGAGTTCTAGTAAGAGGCGTATAGCTGGTTGAGCAAGTGACAATTTCTGCCTAAAAGCCCCCTCCCTACTTATACTAACCTTGCCAGTCCTGCCTTTGTCACTAAAGGCACTAAACTTCCTAGTCTCAGTTGGTGTTGGATGCTAAGCTTGATGTCACTGCTTTGCTTATGTGACAGTGCCTGGAACTAGTGACTGTCTGTAGATCCTCAAATGATCTCTGAATTTATGCTGACACTGTCCTTCCTTCTGGGGATGGCTACTTTTGTTCTCCATGGTTCTTGTGCGCGTTGTAAAGTAACCCCCGCTCCAAGCTCGCTCCCGTGATGGATCATAATCTCAATACAAATTAGTAAACTAAACATGAGATTGTCCTTCCTTCTGGAGGGTGGCTCAGTGATGGACTACAATGTCAGCACTAATTCAGAGATGATTTGAGGATCTACAGTTTAATGATGCACAAATAAATTATTTTTTTTTATAGTTAAAGTACTTGAATACATTTTAACATTCACCTCAAATTCCTTTGGCAGCATTCTTGTTGCTCTATTTTTATTGCCTGATGAGGCATGTTACAAATCACTGTGATTAAACAATTAGGGCCCATGCACACCAGTTTGGTGCAGTACCATTCATCCTAAATTTCACCCCAACGCATGTAACATACCTTCTAGTGTACCGTCAAAAATGCTGCACCAGTGAATTTTGGTCCATGGTGGCGAGTTAGGTAACCCATTCAAATGAAAGCTGAATTGGTATAAACGTTTGAGACCATTTACAGCAGCCTGGCCTGCTGCAGTGCATTTAACGCACATTCAAAGATGAACTCTGGGGATCTAAAAATAAATAGCTCAAAAAACACAATCATTCCCTCAAAGGGAGATTGTCCAGTTATTCCACAATGGTTACACTACACTACAGTGAAGTAATGCTAGCATGGGTTCTAATACCTTGGTGAACACTGTGTTTTCAGGAGATGGACCAAACCAGTAGGGTTACAAACTGATAGGGTTGAGTGCCCACAGCAAAATGGAGGTAGTGTTGGTAGACTGGAAAGATGGGGACATGCAAGCATGCATCCTTAATATTCACAGAGGCTAGACATTCTCCTTGTTGGAGGGAGACAATAATAGACTTGGTGGATTCAGTGCTATCATAGACCAGTGGATTCAAATGTTAGACTCTAATGAAGACATTTAGAGTCTTCCAGTCCAAAATGGGCCGTCTATCCCATATTGGAATAGTAGAAATGTTAGGATAAAAAAAACCTGAAATTTCCCCCACTGGAACAACGGTGATCATTCTTTGGTTCAAACGATCTGCAAGATCAGATTGGAGGTATGATAGTCTGTGAGGAGACTAGTAGACTTCCCTGCTTTGGACATGAAGCAGGGAGGGCCTAAAGAGCAGAACCCTAGCTTGAAGCTCCTGAACACCACGTTTCTTACCCAGGCATCCAAAATGCTTGCCGACAAGGGTTCTGCAAAGGCCAACAGATGTCCCCCCCCCCACTTTGGAAAGTGGGATTATCCCTTAATGTCAAAGAGGATTTAACTGAAGGTTTGGGTGATAGAGACCCAAGGATTGCAAATTTACTGGGCCCTTGGCAGGAGTAACGAAAAGGACCTGTTCTTGGCCTCAGAGGGTGGAAAAGTCTAAAGCCGATGCATCTTCTGCTGGGGCAAATTAGTACTTTTCCCCCAGTGACATCCTTTATAACGGTGTCAAAGAAACATTCACTATCAAAATACATGTGCAACAAGGAATTTTTTTCCGGAAATAAGATGCACAATATCGACTAACCTGTCTACGTCTATTAGTGTAGGGCTGAAAGCATACGCTGTAACCACACTACAAATAAAGTTTTAGCATTAATAGCAGATCCTTTCACATAAGTTTATTCAAATCCCCTAAGGTTTGACAGATTGAAATCATAGCTATGGCAGGTTGCAAAACAGGGCCTGCTAACAAAACAAAGATTTGGAAAGCGTTTCCAAAGGTTTGTCAATAGGATCCTTAAATGGTGGTGCTTGAACAAGTATGGCCAGTTTTTTTTTATTAAGACAGGATATCAATGACTCCACACTGGTAACAGCCCACTTCTTGATAAAGGACTCCTCAAATGGGTAATAGTCTGTAAAATGTTTGGGAAGGGTTAATACATTGTCAGTTGTCATCCAGTCTCAACACCTATAAGTAAGAAATGTACTGGAAAAGTGTGTTAATAGTCTTGGGGCCTTCTAAGTGTTTCTAGACTAGTAAAGGCTATTGGGTGTTCTTCTATTTCTAAGGTGGCACACACCAAGTCAATAAGAGCTAATATGGTATAAGGTAGCTACTTGCAGCTGCTCAGGAACAAAATCATTCACCAAGGATTTGTTAGACTCTTCGTTAGACACAGTCTCCACAGCAGAAGGCTCAGAGGCGACAATAGCTGCAGGTACAGTATGTCATACAATGAGTTTGGAGGGGAAGAGTAGAAGCATGCTTAGTCTCTGCGTTCCAAGTTGGCAATTATAGCTGCAGTTTGGACCATAAAATCCAGCATAGCTGTAGAGAACTCTTCCCCGGATATGGCTGGAGGTGGAGGTTACAGCTGACTGAGCGAAGGAAGACTCCAGGCTTTTTGTGCCTTTGAGGTGATACTTTTTGCAGACAGGCAACTTCTGACATCTTATGCCATCATCTACTTGCAGCTGCTGTTGGTCAACTAATAAGACAAGCTTTAACACGACTAGGATGTGCTGGAGCTTTGCCAGTTCAGAACAGCCCAGGATTTGAGTGTAGAGACGGGACTGAAGGCGGTTACAGATAAGTTCATGTCAATGCAAAAACTAAATTTGAGATAGGGTAAGGAAAGATGACTCCACACTGGTAACAGCCCACTTCTTGATAAAGGACTTGATAAAGCCCTTTTGGATTTCATTTTCTTTCCTTCTAACAAAAAACGTTTTACCAGACATGAAGTAATCTTAAAATTAGCTTATATAGAAGTCATTTAATCACCTTGGCATCACACATGTTTTGCCCAAATGTTCAGAAATCTTCAGAGCTGTACACAGTGATGAGCTGCAAAGGTCTGTATTATCCTGCAGGCACACAGATGGGCTTTCCACTGAAGACTGCAACTCTGAAGATTTTGTGCAGACCTAGGCAAGCTGCACTGTGAGAATGTTAAATTAGGACTGTAGCCAAGTATTATCTATATTGAATGTGCTGGGTAAAAAGAAATATGTAAATGCACTAACAGGGCAGTTATTCTTTTTATTGCAGTAATAGGTTCACTTTAATACATCATGTAGTGATCACTACAGCATGCCTGAAATGATCTGATTGGACGTAGTCACTGCTTGTAAAGTATATAGAGGTTCCTGTTGGTGCCATGACTACACTTATCAATTCTGGAGCTCAGCATGGATATGATTTTCAATTCAACAGCAGGAGGAATTTGGGTAAAACTGACTAAAGGTGCCCATACACCTTACAATTTATCTGCAGATTTTCTGTGGTCAGATGGAAAAAGTGCAACAGATTGGCCCAGGTGGAGATTCCTCCATCCACACAATTAAGTGTAGATGGAGGAATCTGTTGCACCTTTTCCATCTGACCATAGAACATCTGCAGATAATTATAAGGTGTATGGCCAGCTTTAGTCGTGACTGTTACTGAATGCTTGAAATTATCTTTATGCCTACAAATCAAAGCTGATTGCTAAGACAACATAATACCATGTTTAGAACTTAATGCATTATAAATTCAAATATTTTATTTTAATTAAGTGATTTCTATTAGAGTCTTTTTGCAAAAGAAAAGGAAAAAAAAAAAAACACCGCACTAGATGTCTTCAAAACTGTCTATGTTATAAGTGAAACGTTGAGTTAGAGTTGAGGCTTGGGTATCTCACATGATTAGTAGACTTCATGAATGGTTGCTTCATTCATTTGGATTGTACATTTCTCTGAACCTGATAGTTCTGAAAGCTTTGCACAACAGGTCTGACCAGATAATCCTTCAGGAATGTGTTTTCTCAGCACTGGTGGTTTAGGCTGAAAATAAATTCAAAGTCTAAGCATAGTCTTTACATTAACTTTGACTAAAAGTTCTCTCAAATACAGTTCAGAATATTGTATGCAGTGGTGAAGAGATTTGTACCTACAAAACACATCCTACTAGCACAAATGCACATCCCTCAGCAGGCTTTAAGATGAGGATTACACAGCTCTCATTTACGCCCAGATTTCTTATCTATATGCCCTTTGAGGCATCATTTAATGTTACTTAGCAGCGCTAGAATACTACAGCTAAACTTGGATAATTCTGCTATTTGTGCTTTCCCGGTCTTGCTTCCTGATGGAAAAGGCCAGGATACAGCAGTATAATGCAGAGGTTGACTTGGCCCTGAACAATTGTGCATAACTACTCTCTGCATCACCATACAAGGCACCGTGTTTTTAAGGTCTGAATATGGGAGGGGAAGGAAAGTGGGATATCACCCACATGAATTAGAATACTAACATACTACGACCAAAACAGCTAAATGCTGATGACTGACACATTTCTGTGTTAAGAGTAAAATCAGTCTAGTTTGCACGGCAGATTGCGTAACAGCTTTTCATACGACAGCGAACCCACTGTCATACTTGGTACCACTCGCTATGTCCCAACATGATCAATTACTGATGAATGGCAATGGAGTGAAATTGTGCCCCAAGTAATGTCAATGGAAAACAGACCTTTTCAAACATCACTGGAGGTCAGTCTGTCAAAAAATACAACCAGCAAGTGCTTTCAAGTCATAGCGTAATCCTGGTGCTGGGCTGCAACTTCACAGAGCAAATTCTTTCAATAGACTTTTGTCCAGACTTCTCATATGCCGATTGACTGAAGAATTCGACGTTCATTGGCATTCAGATGTTCAGAGAATGCAGAAAAACATGGCTGCTGGGCAAACTGCTGCAGAAATTCTGTCAGGTACGTCTGTAAAATGAAGAAAAATTCAGTGAGTCAGCTGTGTACCAGAAGAGCTTTTTACTTTAACCCCTTCATGACTGAGGCCCTTTTTTCAATTTTTGCACCCATGTTATATTCCACATTTTAGGCCTGAAAATGACGTAAAACCCCCCAACATTATATATTTTCTGAATGCCAAGACCCTATAGAATAAAATGGTGGTAGTTGAAAATTTTTATGTTGCGCAATATTAGCGCAACTCCTTATTAAACCCCAAAATTTAGTGACAAATTTAATTAAATGCCCCAAAACACAACAAATTACCCATTTTTTAAATGAAATATAAAAGATGAGGTTACAACGAGTAAAACGATCCCCAACATGCACAGTTTACAGATTGCGTGCGACCGTGAAACGGCGAAAAACTGCAGTACCCCAAAAAGTCAATAAAAGACACTTTAAAAGCCCCCACAGGTCATCAATTTAGAAATACCCCAAAATACTGGCCCTAGGATTATTGCTCTCACTCCGGCGTGCGCGGTGATACCCAACATGTGTAGCGCGTTCGTCGTTTTCATACGTAGGCGTGTTTACGTGGCGACGCGCGTGCTCGCGGGGGACTTTTAAAAATGTTTTATTATTATTATTAGATTTATATTTTAAAAACTGTTTTGTTTTTTTAAACTTTACTTTGACTGCTACACATGCTTACAAGCCCCCCCATGTGATAGCAGATGGTGGTGACAGGTACTCTTTAAGGTGATGCTGGGGGTCCAAAAGACCCCCAGTGTCACCTTTAAACTAGAAATAAGCTATTGAAGTGCAGATCGCAAAAGTCACCGGGAGTCTGTTTAAACAGCCCCGATGCTGGCGACGTACACTGTATGTCGTCAGTCATGAAGGGGTTAATATCCCTCATAAAACATTATATAAAAAGTATACCTTTACCCATATCTTTAAAATAACAACAAACACATCTTTAGAAATGTTTAGTAATGACAACCTACAAACACATACTTCTAGATAATTGCAGGCTTTGTATTCTTTGCATATCTTATTTCGCTTTTCTTGCCCAGTCTTCTGACAGTGGCCATGTTTACTAAGGGCAGATTACTAGTTCTCCTTTTACTTCCTGGATTTCTGGCACATGACTAGACATGTGACCTTGCACATCATCTCAGGGAGGAAAATGCCTTTCCCTGAGATCTTGTGAGATTACAGATGAGATTTCCCAGCAATGCTCTGCTGATAAAAGGTAATCCCAGTGTGCTTTGCTTTGGTAAACTGAAGTAATTTTGCCCTTTCAAAGCAGGAAGTGAATGCTCTGCAAGTGAAAGTATTACAAAATCCCAGCATTTTACACCTGACATGTCTATGTTATTATTAATCATCGTACATAGAGGGATGCATTGGTAGAAATAGATTTTTGAGTTAGACATCTGCTTTACGGTAGACTTTACAATGACAATACATGATTTCAATTTTAAAATTACCCCAAAGTTCCTTTTCACCAGAACACTGGGCAAGCTCCCATTTACCTCTACAACTGCTGTACTGGGTTACTATTGATATTTCAGCAAAGAACAGTAGCACTTCAGCAAAAACATTCCAACCTAGCTGGCAACTTTCCATGGGCTGCTTCTGCAACTATTTCCAACCTTATGTGCTAGGGTTACCTGCATAACTACACCAAAATGGGGCATATTGTTCATTACTGTATTTGACGCATTAAACAAAACGTGCCCAGTGTAACCAAAGTAGGTGATGAGGATTGTGAAAATAGGATTTTTGTACTCGCTGTAAAATCATTTTCTCTGTGTTCATTGAAGGGCACCTGCCAGTGGTGCAATAACCCTCTGGTTACAGATCTTCAATCTCTTCGCTGTGTCCTTCAATGAACGTCAGAGAAAATACGATTTTGTTACAGTAAAATCTTTTTCAATGAGGGACACAGGATATAACAATTCTTAGACACTTGGGTTATACTGCTGCCTTCAGGAGGGTTGGACACTGGCAAACAAAAAAAACATGTTAAGCCAACCCCTGTATAACCCCACCCAGAGGCTGTGGAGACCACTCTGCAGCTAACACACTACATCAATATCTGGAATATGCAACAAGCAGAGACCAGAGCCTATAGGCCACATTCCAGTCTTCACCCAGTTCATGGACTTACTCAAATAGTGAGCAATCAGAAACTGGGTCACACCAGACGTCTCTGAACCTAGAGAAGGCTCTGGAGTTAACCAACACAGTACCTAAGGGTATGGAAAGTGCCACAAGCAGAGACCAGTGCCAAAGGTCACATTTCAGGCTAGTCCCTCAAACTTGAGTCCAGGTACAGCCTCTAAAGCTAATGCTAAGGATTAGCCGATCCAGGTAGCTTTTGTATAGAGAGTAGCTCCAACAATACATTAAACAACTCAAATAAAGAGAAAAACATCCAAGTACCAAGAATATTGATAAAATAAATAAAAATGGTAATAGATGGTAAAAATAGATATAAAATAAAGCATCCAACCTCATAGGACACTAGCATGATGGTTGAAAACAGGGTTATATGGGGCTGTCTTAACATTTGTTTGCCAGTGTGCCAAACTGCTGAAAACAGCAGTAAAACAGAAATGTCCAAGAATGACTAAATTCCTGTGTCCCCCAGTAGACAAACAAAACAGCTTACACTTCATACACATAACATAAGCAGACATTTTCCCAGGTTACTTTCTAGAAATCCATCTGCAAGGTTTTACCTGCAAATCTATTTGGTACAAAGGGTCTTTGAGAACATCAGGGTCATCTTCCTCATCATCTTCATAATAATCATCATCTGCCAAACAATTAAAAAAACATTTACCCAAGTGGTCAGGAATTGTACAGAAGGAGCAGGAATTTTTCCCAAATGCATTTTCTGTGATTTCAAAGTAAGAAGAAATGCTCTAGTAATATACAGCACATTCACTACTAAAGATTTTAATTAGCATTCAACATCAGCACACAATTAGGGGGTACTTATTGTTGGAGGCATGACAACTTTTAGTGGTGAAACAGCACTTAACAGGTTTCTATCCATACATAATTTTTACATACTATAATTTACTATTAAGATATCTACAAAAATGATATGACAGTCTTCAAAACCAACCATTTTTTGCTTGCTCGGGCAATGATCCAGAGTGTATGGGTCAGTCTTCAGCATCCCTCAACTCAGAGGACAAAGAAATCAAGTAAAAAAAAAAAATGTCCTATTGTTCAGCACCACCACAAGAAAAGCTGATTCAAAAACTATTCCTGTACAGCAACCAAAGGCAACTTATTTTGCTTGATTGACTATAAATACATTGTGTGGCTGTATCAGGTTAAACACTGGAACAAGTACTGTGCAGAATGAATGGCGTTACCATATTTATTGCTGGAAATAATATCCGATAAGAGTTGCCCAGCCAAACCTTCATCTTCATCATCTTCATCTTCCCACATATCATTTGCATCATCTGAAATGAACCAGCATGAAATAATCTTACAACTGTCATCTCAAATGATACTTGCTTAATGATGGGAGAAATGTTTTCATTGTGAACCCAAGCACTCGCATTTTTATAAGTTTAGTACAGTCAAAATCATTATTGCTTTGTTTTTGTTATAGCTGATGCTCTGGTATTGCATACCATATCTTGTTAATTTTGTATCAAGCTATTAAAAGCTGATGTAAAACTGGTAGCCCTTATTTTCTGGCACTTTAGTGTCAGTTTTAAAAGCATAACAACACCTTTAACTAATTGAATCCAAACTGCCCTACCGTAGTAGGATGTATCCCCAATAACAGACATCAGATCTGTGGGCAATGCGGACTGTCCTTAGTCAATTCTGTGCATACTTTTCTCCGTAGACCCGAATGGAGGGACTCTGCTGTGCAACCCTCTTAATCGTTGACAACGATTTTCAGTATCAATTATTATCAACTATCGATTAGTTGTTTCGGCCCCAACGTTTACAGAAAAATAAATAGCAAACTGAGTTGCAGACTCTTTTCTTTCCAACTCTTTGCTAAACCTGGTGGAAATCTGAAGAACATAGCTGAAGGAACAAGTTCTTAGACAATTTTTTAAAAATATTTTCTGCGTAATCCATATGACAATATTAAAAAAACAAATAGTAAATGCAGCGTAAAAATAGACTGCTACACTTTATTTATTCAAGGACACTTGCCAATCTGGTCATTTAAACAGAAGTGGCATTTGATAGCCACTCCTGCTGTGTGATACAAAACAATTCCTGGCTGTCATTTTGACAGCCAGTAAATGCTGATAATAGCTGAGGCAGCAGTGCAGGAGCTGGATGTAAGAGGTATGTCCTAGAAACTTTACTGAAGTTTTTTAGGATGCATCTTTTCCATCTAAACTCCTCAATTGGCTAAGCATGTTATGTACACTAACGCCTCCCTTGTGTAGACATTAAGACTGCTGGTCAGTGCCTCATTTTTGGATTGTGATGTCAGCAGCAGATACATCAGACTCAGAGCTGTTACTCAAGCGATTCATAGTATTACACTTCACTCCTCTATAAGCTGCAACATAAAAGCAGCCGGGGGAGGCACTATGGTAGGAAGCCAAGTCCCTTGAAATAGTCATTTTCTAGCAAGTTCAGAGGGCACATTGCAAGTCAAAAGGAAAAACACTGCAATTAAACATTTAAAATACTAAATGTTTCTGTGTTTTAACCAGCAAATATGTAAGTTGTTTACATTGTCTCTTTAAGGGTGGCTATCAAATAGCAGATATATCAAGGAGAGGCTGGGAGATACCAGTGCACATGCACGTTTACACTCCTCCCTCAAATGTAATTACACAGAGGTTAGAGGGAACCCCTGTGGCACATAATGTAGGCAAGTCACAAATTGCCCCATAGCAGAAATCTTACCTCCATTACCGTGGGCCCACTCCTCTTCAGTCTGCCTTGTAGCATTAGCCTCAATTACATTCGACAGCTCATTAATTATCAGTTTATAGATCTTCACCAGTAGGGGTATGGTTGTAAAACGTTGAGGATCTATGGAAAAATATATTGAAAAGAGAATATAACAGGCATATAACAAAAATAGCCAGAGACCTTCAGAAATAAACCACACAGATGGGTAAAATAACCTACTTCTGGATGTTTTCGATCTAGTACGGATCCCTTCTTCCATATCAAATATTTCATCTCCTTTTACTTTAATATCTTGTAGTCTCTTGTCATCCATTGTAATGCCATACTGGAGTATCTTGCACAAAGCCACTGAACTAGGAGGGCAAAAAATGTACAATACAGAGAGATAACGCAAACTGTAATTCACAGACAGCAATTGAAGGTCAACCTGCTAATTGATAACCACCTCCCCACTACAGTAGCTGGAAGACCAGATGAAGCAAGAGCTGTAAATAAATAGCAGCTAAAGATCACGATTAACGTATGTGTTGGGTCTTCAAGGTTGTTCACTATTCTACCATTAAAAACATAATCGAGGTTATAGATGAACAAAAACACAATTCAGATTCTCTAAAACAAATTTCTCTCACCTGACTTTACCTTCATATTGGCCATAAAATAAATGTTGTCGACTCATCCATTCTGCCATTACAAACTCTAGGGCCGGTTTACCTGTTGGGCCAGGCAAACTGCAAAGGAACTCAAGCAAAGGCTCCAGTTGAGAGTTTGCAAGATGTGCAAACACCATAATCAAAGACTACGAGGAAAAAAAAAAAAAAAGTTGGCAATTCCCAGAAGTGCATACAATGGCTATATAGACCTGACAAAGATGTGTGGTAATACCTGCATGACACTAAGCGTCTCAGCTTGCTGCATCTTGCTAAGGATAGCTCGCAGAATTTGGTCCAGATTTTCCCCCAGTTCACGCCCAGCCTTAGAAATTAGAGTAGAGACAAGTCGCCCCACAAATGCTGCAGTGAATTCAGATGTGCGAGGATCCAGTAGCTGGCTGACAACTTGCATAACATACCAAAGACCAGAATGGCCCTGTTCATCGTGCCACTGTGCAATCTGCTCCAACGCAACAGAAACATAGGCTCGTAGACATTCACCACCATTCTGAAAACAAAATATGCAACAAGATCTAAGCTTTAACTCCACAGCCAATGCTGGTTATGTAATAATCGACCACCCCTGCCCCTAGATACCATGTTTTATCTCTAAACCAACACTACAACGGGTACCTGCATGGTGGTATTGTCGTCTGTGCGTAGGGTACACTGAGCAATAGCAGGAAAAGCCTGGCAGGTAAGAAGCTCTGACAGAGGTGGCTTGGTGTTCCTCACAACTGTGGTCAAAATATCAATTGAAGTCTGCAGAAAAAGAAAAAAAGGTGGTAACACAGTACACATCTTTGTAAAAATCCAACTTCTGTCACTGCTTTCAAATATAAAATTGTATGTTTATGTACACCCCAATGTATGTGTTGCTAGTAACTGCAATCAGCACCAAATTAATTACCTTTTGTGTTGCAAGATTGTTTTTAATGGCTTTGTAGAAGGTCACACACAGTTACTTGTACTTCAAACATGTGAGCAGTGGCTATTCTCAGCTACAGTTTCCTGTATTACAAATATCACCTACATGGCTTTAGTCCTTTTACAACAAAAAGAATACCATGTGTTTGGAACAAATTCATTGGTCTATACATAGGGATGTTAAGATATCAGTGCCGATACTTGGCATTTTCATGAGAACTACCAGGGTTGCAGCTGGGACCTGGCTCTGGTGCTCCACAACTGTCCTGAAATCATTTGTCTGCATTGTTTTAGAAAAATGGTCACATGCCAATAAACAAAAATGTATCAGTAATTGAATCTGTGAGTACTTGTACTTGAAACAATGGTATCGGTGTATCCCTTATATTTATTTAAAAAAAAAATATATAAAAAATAAATCATACATTAAAAACAGTGATGCACAAATCCCAGGAGCTCTGTATGCTCCTTACTAATGACAGCTGCCTCCTAACTTTTGAGTTTTTCTCTAGTCTAGTTTTGGAGCTAGAAAAGTATCTCTACATGTACTTTATCGAGTACGGTACTTGGTATCTGAACATCCCTATACTTAATATTCATTACATTAAAATGTACAACATTATTATATTTACAATCAGGTTCCTGAAAACAGGATTTCATAAAGAAGGGCCCAAATCTAACACATTAATATTCATATTAAACACACTGAGCTGTAAGGAGGTATAACATAAATTTCCAAAGAAAAATGTTGTCAATACTGTTGCTGGGTCCCTTGGTGTCCAAGGCAGACCCTCAACAGCAAACATTAGGGGGTTCCAGCACAGTGATAGCCAATCACAGTGATCACAGCCACTGAACTGGCTTATAGCTCACTGTGTTGTGGAGCTACAAGCCGGATCAGTGTGCTACAAAGTGATAAAGTATCTCTGAGGAGAATACCTTGACTCCTCAGAATACAAAGTTTTTAGGAAATATAGTGCCGAGGAGGCTATTAAAGTTAGGAGACAAAACATGCCACATTCTAAAATTGTAACCTATAACCCCCAAAATAAACTGAAATCCCAGACATGATATACCCTATAAATCTGGACTGATAAAATAACTTATTAGGAATTACTTTTTGTTGTGAAAAACATGTTTTTCCATTTATATTTGCATTTTTTATTAAAAAAAAGAATTCATATAAGCATATGTCACAATAAAGCACATTTTGTCCTTTAAAAAACAGTATTTGTGTAGGTGCAATGAATGAGGAAGAAATAGATTATGGTAGAGCTGCAAGAACTATTCGATTTAGCAGATTAAAATCGACGATGGAAAACGTTGACAATCAGTTAAATTGCCTGTTCGTGGCTCCACACACGAGCCGCGCGACGCAAACGCCACGCCGCAATCCAGCCCCCGGCTTTCCTCCAATCCCGGCGCTCCTTGCATCTAGCCGGGCCGGTGCGATCACATGATGGGTGTCGGGGATGTGAGCGTGACAGGTGTCAGCCGGGGGACGGGAGACGATGGCTGGGGCATCCAGGCAGAACCGGAGGCTGCGGATGGGGGACCCGGAGGACGGTAAGAGGGAGCTGCCCAGTATGAGGGTCTTCAAAGTTCAAGGAGTTCAGCAGAAAGCAGATCAAAGACATGGAGGGAATGTTCAGACAGTAAGTGCCCCGAGCACCCCGGAGCCTGGAACCCAACACCGTGCACCCCAATCCACCATCATACCCGTCCTTTCCATCCCTGCACCCCATTCCACCATCATACCCGTCCACTGCACCCCATTCCACCATCATACCGGTCCTCTGCACCCCATTCCACCATCATACCCGTCCTCTGCACCCCGTTCCACCATCATACCCGTCCTCTGCACCCCGTTCCACCATCATACCCGTCCTCTGCACTCCATTCTACCATCATACCCATCCTCTCCATCCCAACATCATACCTGTCCTCTCCATCCCTGCACTCCATTCCACCATCATACCCCATGTCTGCCATCCATTATACCATCATACCCATCCTCTACATCCCTGCACTCCATACCACCATCATACGCATCCTCTCCTTCCATGCACTCCATTCCACCATCATACCCGTCCTCTGCACCCCATTCCACCATCATACCCGTCTTCTCTATTCCTGCACTCCATTCCACCAGCATACCCATCCTCTCCAATAACACCAGCTATAGAGGAATACATCAGATCCCAGCAATACATTATATACAGCGCAATGGAGAATTCTAAGCAGCTACAGAGGACTAGAAATCCCAGCAATAGTACATTATAGTATAATGTACTATTGCTGCGATTTGTTGTATTCCTTTATAGCTGCTGGTATTCTGCATTGCGCCACTGCATAATGTACAATATTGCACACCACACTTCTTTTTACTTCCACCGCTCCAAGCTTGCTCCCGTGATGGACTACAATCTCAATACAAACTAGTAGTCCATCACTGGAGCCTTTCTTTTTTATCCGATTAATCGAGCTTAATAATCGGCTAACTACTCGCTTTTGAAAATATTAAGATTAAAAATAAGATTTTGCTGCAGCCCTAGATTATGGATAAACTGAAAGCAAAAAAGTCAAAATTGCTCCAGGCCCCAGGAACTGTGTCACTAAGGGGCTAAACATGCAAATGTATTTTACATTACCCTGACAATAGGCATTCATTTTAATTCTTGAAAGAGCTTACCGCACAGAGACCACTTGGGATCTTCTCAGAAGGGGCCTGCATTATGCTAACCAAAGTGGGAATAAGCCTCATTTGCATGGCGCTCTGACATCCTTCTATTTGAGCCAGCTCTTTAAAAATGTCTTGAGCCAAAGAAGCAACAACAGGATCTGAAATCCAAAACTAAGCAAGTTAAGATATATAAAAAAATAATGATAACTCACTCATGCGTGCTTTCAACTCACTCATTCACAACATGACTTACCATTGCTATACTTGAGGAAAATTGCTATTGTGAAAGGACAGATTTTGGATTCAGCATTGGCTGTAAACACTGGATCCACACTGCAGACAATGCAGAGTGTTTCCATTACGAGATTCAGAACTTCCGATGTGAACTGGGCTGCCAGGTGGATAAGTCCATCAACCACACTGGGCAAGAATGGTTGCAGCACATGAGTGCTTTCAGAGATCTTCAGCTGATCACAGTATCTACAAATCAACAATGGACAACTAAGCAAAAGAAAAAAGGCACAATCTCTGAATTGAAAGAAGAGAAAACATTCTCTTACCCCCAGATAGCTCGGACGGCAGAAATTCTTACTGAGGGTGGCTGGTTATCATGCAGCCCACTGACTGTGGCCTGAAGAAACTGCTGTATCAATTCTGGTGACATTGCAGCTGTAAATCTACTGGCAGCCCAAAGAGAGCGCCCCAGGAGAAAAGGAGAAACTGAAAGGGAAGCAGAAAAATTTTAAACTAGTAACTTACACGTTATGTCATGTGTTTAACATTCCTCAACCATTGCACATTACTTAGCATTCTCTGAGGTTGGGTTCATACCTAGGCGGCATAGTTTTTGCGCATGTTCAGCGTGCAGTTATTTGCACGTTTATGCACAATTTGACATGCGTTTGTACGCACGTACATGAAGACACGCATTTTGACTGGCAGCTTAAGAAACAGTGCGGGCAATGGACGAACACACGTACAAAAATGTGCAACATGCTTCTTTGGGCATTTCCATGCAAGTCTATGGGGCAAAAACTGGCTGTTACCCACCCAAAGAAGCTCATGTACCTTTTCAGGCATTTGGCGTTTTCCTGTTCAGGTGTGAACAGGGGCCATTGAAGATCATGGGATTTCTTGTGTTGGGCGTTTAAAAGCGCTTTTCCAACTGCTGAAAAATACCTAGGTGTGAACCAGGCCTAAGACCCCATTCACACTGAGCGACATGCAAATCGCGCGACGTTGAGCGACATCTTCCTATTGGGCTGTATGCAATCAGGAGCAATATCGCTCAAAATCGCTCTAAAAAAGGGTCATGTAGAAGCGACAAGCGACGAGCTACAAGCGATATTGAGCGATATTGAGCGACATTGAGCGACGAGATGTGAACAGCTACATTGAATTGTATTGGTGAAGATACATAGAGCGATATATAGTGCGGAAATATGAGCGATATCGCTACAAAAATCGCGCGATAAATCGCTCAATGTGAACGGGGCCTAACATAACTAATTGGCAGTTGGATAGTTCCAAACAGTACCACTACAGATATGTTATAAACATATAAAAGGTAGCCCTTGGTGTGCGCCAGTTCCATTTGCGCTGTTTCAAAATATCGCCCTTATAGGGGTGGTCATGTGACCGCCATTGAAATCACTGCAGAGTCATCGCTGTCTAGCATATCCTACCTCCAAAGACCTCAGCAGAAGGATATGCAGGGGACCTCTCTACAACTCCACGTGGCTACAGAACAGAGTCTCAAATGGCTTGTAAAGGGTCTCTTCTCAGTAATATAACTGTGGACACTTACAGACTGGGAGGCACACTTGGAGATATGGAGGCACATAGAGATGAGGTCACACTTGGAGATACTATCCACAGACATGCTTGGGGCACACGGGTACCCTTGGTGCTAGAGAGGCACATAGGTGCATGCTGGTGGCACAGGGGTACACTTGAACATATGGAGGTTCTTCAGTGGCTGTCTCCTCACGCTCTCTCCTTTTTTTGATCATTAAAACTTCATTTGAGGATGCATACTGCATTGTCTGGTTATTTTATACTGTGTATAATACTCTTCAGCATTCATAACATTCATTTCAAAGCTTTAAAATATAATGTATTATGTCACTTATGCCATTTTTGAGAGAGGCCGGGAACCCAACTCCATCACTTCCCATTGACTTACATTATACACTGGGTTTCAATTTACATCGGTTTCTATTTGCAACCATTCCCTCAGGAACCTAACCCTGGCGTAAATTGAGGGCTACCTGTACATTGATGTTTTTAGTATTAATCTATTTAGTCTCCGATTTCTACTGCTATACAAAGTACAGAACTCTTTGTAAGCATGCAATGTCAGAAAGCCCTGAGGGCCAGATGAGAAACATTGCTAAAAGCAATGTTGGCACATGATGTAGAGATGGAAAAAAAAAAAAAATGGTAAAGTATTTGCTTTGATAGTATATTACTTCACCTGCAAGTTACCTACCTGAAAGATTGAGGTCTGCAAGAATGACACCAGTTAAGAAGCCAGGCATGTCAAACTGAACTCGTCCACTTTGAACACCATCTATAATCACAGACTTCACTGAGCCCAAGGCCAGCATGCAGGCCTCATGAATCTTCCACCTGCACAATCATAGCATGTTCTGTTTACACCAAATCCAAGCATAGTAAACATACAAGCATATATTCAGTTAATTTCCTTTTTACATTCATTACTGAAATTGCATGCTTCCTCCTCCCACCCACACATACACACCATCTGCTCAAATACAGAAGCATCTGCTGTGCTGTAACTGTACAGTGATAGGCTTAACACTAACGCGGCATTTTCAGCCATATATTCAAGTGATAAAAAGCTCACAATACTCCAAGATTATTCATAAACCTATTGATGGTCAGCACTTCACACCACACAAGAATAAAGCAGGTATTCTGTAATTATTCGTTGTTTTTTCCATGAATGACAACCACCATACAGTAGGTGGGCACATATCTCACTAGCTGATATGTCATTTTGGTTGGTAAGTATTCTTTTATACAGTGCTGTTCAATATCCTATAGGAACACAAGAAGTTATAAATATATAGGATATATTCACTATCGTCTGCATTGTCATAGGCAATACTCTAAGCCAGGTTTGGAACATGACAGTTTAATTGGTATGTATAGCAGTTTTGTACAGAATTTTTTTCCCCCTTTACTCATTATGGTCAGAAAAAAAAAATCCAATTTGTCCTGAATAAAACAAGGAACAATTCACCTAATTTACACAAGTCGTTGCAAAGATACGGTCGTGTAAAAAAGAAAGTCCCCTTCCTTTGAATTCTATGGTTTTACGGATCAAGACAATATAATCATCTGGTCCTTAGCAGGTTGTAAATTAGGTATATACAATCTCTCATGAACAACAACAAAATGACAAACTACAGTGTCATTATTTATTTTTTAAACATAAAGCCAAAATGGAGAAGCAATGTGTGCAAAATGATTGAATAGCTTTTAGAACCACCTCAGGCAGCAATAACTTGGAAGCACTCTAGGGCTGAAACAACTAATCGATAAAATGGATTAGATCAGAATCCCCAGCCACCATTCTGCGCATCTGTTCTACTCCCTGCTTGCTGCAGCGGTCTTTGTCCCTTTCAATCCCCTACGGGAAGCACGGCGACGGTGTGCGGCGGCCCCTTCTACGGGACACAGAATTGATCTGGCGACAGGTAAGTCGCCAGAATCGCTTCTGTTGTAAAGCCGACAGTCGGCTTTACAAGTTTAAACAGACTCCCGGCGGCTATCTATGTAAATGCAGTTCTGTTAATGGTAACGCAGGCGTGTTCTGCATTTGTGCACATATTGTGTTTTGACACGTGTTCTCAATACGCCCTGGTGTAAACGGGGCCTAGGATCATTGCTGATCTTTCCTCACACCCCTGAATGCTCCGGACGAGCAAATTGCTAAAACTTTGGGTTCTATAGAGGTGGTCACACTTGCTGATGAACACTTAAACAAGTGCATTTGATTAGCAGCACCTGGCTGCTACTTAGCCTCTTAATTCCTATTCATGCAGTAAGGGTGTACTTCGTTTTTCACACATAACGTCTCCATTTTGTTTTTAGGTTTGTAAAATAAATAATGACATAGTATGTAATTTGTTGTTCATCTGAGGTTGTATTTACCTAATGTTAAGACCTGCTAAGGACCAGATGATTTTTATTATGTTCGAATATGTAAAACCATAGAATTCAAAAAGAGAGTGCACTTTCTTTCACACAATTGTGTATACAGTTTATCTAACACATGTTAAAGTTGCAAAACTGGGTTCAGACGTTAAGGTTTGTTTTACGTTCTGTCAATAAAGGAGAACTATGAGGTGAGTGCTTTTCACTCACCTCATAGTTCTAGCCGACCTGTGACAATGAGACTGTCACAGGTCGGCTCAGCGAACAAATGCCGGCGTTCGCTCACCTCTCGATCCTGTCACGGCTCTCTGCCGTGACAGGGGAAGGGGCTGGATTCCCCCCTCCCCGCCAGCGCTGACTGGCGGAACGGACGGGGGAGGGTACAGCTGGCTCTGCCTCTAGATAGGCAGAGCCAGCTGTCAGTCACGCAGCTGCGCGGTGACTGACACGGTATACTGAGCCTAGGGTGACGGGAGGACGCTAGTTTGTGTCCTCAGTTATGAATGAACAGGCTGCCTATGTGATTATACCTTACAGTCTGTTTTCCTCATATGTATGTACATTTACAGATCTTATTCATTCTGATGTAAAGTGTATATATTCTCCTTTTCTGTTCTGTTTGTACTGGTGCCTGACGTACTGCACTGGTGGACTTACTGCTTCATGACCCGTGTACTGTGGAGATACCTGTGCTGCTGTTACTGTAAAGGTTTTAGTTTTCTATGGAAAATGTTAAAACTGTTCATGAAAACTGATCAGATTACATATAACCCCAATTTACCAGTGCTCTCCTCCTTGGCTCTTTATCTGTTCAGCCTCATGTAGATGACGTGTAGCAGCAGCAGCAAGTGCAACTGCACTCTCATTCTGAAACTCACTGGATACTGCCTAGAAACAAAAGTAAAACCAGAACCTTTTTTTTTTTTTACGATATGCACAGTCACAATGGTTAAGTTATAACAAAGGGCTATAATTGCATAAGCAGTAGATATAAAAAAACAAGACAGACCCAAAAACATAATGTTGATATGGTAAAGTTTATTTCTTGCTGGACATTATGGCTACACTCTTTTCTAATAAACATTCTTTGAAGCAATCTGTACTCAATACAATATTTGCAATGTACTTCACTCACCAGCAAAAGATCCTGGGCAGCTATGCGGACAGTGTAAGAAAACGTGTCATCATCTTCATCTTCAACAAACTGCTGGGGATTTGCAGTCCACACCTTTATCTAGAAAGGCAATATACGGGGTCATTTAGATATGATCTCAGCAACAAACTTGGCATAAGACCCTTGCTTTGTAATCTGCTTAGTACTAGTTTTGAATTTTTCCCCATTACACAATTATAAATCTGCATCTTCCAAAGAAGGCACTGAAGCTCCGCAATAGAACTCAAAACACTGAAGATCATAGCAACTGTATTTCGTCTACTACCTGCTCTTCTGTGATTTGCATGTAGAGGATAATGTAGTAGAACAATTCTGGCAGAGCTTTTTTCACCGTCCCTTTAAACTTGTTCTCTAACAAGGTGTGCACAAACTCAAAGATACTAAACACCAGGTTCTCAAATCCCAGAACTTCACCTGGTGGGATAAAAAGCAAGAACAAATTTGATTCAGAAGATGCAAAAACTAAAGTGTACGTATTACCAAAATTTTTATTTTTCAGTTTGAACAGAGGTTAAAACCTCTGTCAGTTTATTGTTTTTCTGGAGACACAAAAGACAGTGATCAAAAACACCCCTAGTGTGCGAGTGGATTTTCCCCCTTAGACAGCTGTCTCCAGACCAGGTATCCCAATTGGAAGATTCCCCCTTGCTATTATTCTGATGACAATGCCAAAATGTTTGGATTTGCTCTCACTTTTTGTCATGGTGACCATGGTCACTAGGACAAATAGAGGGTGAATCTCCCACGTAAGGACACACAGTAGTAAAAACTGAAAAGGGGGGTCTAACCATTCCCCACCATCCCAAACGAAAAAAAAAATGTTTTGCCTTTATATACACGTTAACCACTTGCCGTCCAGAGCAATTTCTTACTATTTGCACACACATGATAAAATCTGATTTTTTTTTTTGGGCTAGAAAACTTCAGACCCCCAAACAATGATATATGTTCTGAAAGCAGAGGCCCTGTAGAATAAAAATATACTAGTTGCAATTTTTTATGTCACACGGAATTTGTGCAAATGTTTATCAAACAAGTATTTTTAGAATACAATACACTAAAATTAAACAAGCCTCCTATGTAATAGCAAATATGTGACAGGTCCTCTTTAAGAAGACATCAGAGGCCTTTCAGACCCGTCACCTAGAGACCCCAAAGAAGCTGATGAAGCAGAGATCGGCTTCAAAAAGTTCTTCTCATGTCTACAGGAGCCAGAGAATGTGTACAGTGACACTGGAAGTGATGTTATGCATATCACTTCCAGGTCCAGTGATTGGAGGAGAGATCAGCAGCTGGGAGCCTGCTAATCTCCGCTGCACCATACAAGCGATCCGGCGCCTGTACAGACGCCGGATCTCCCTGTATTTAAATCGCCGACTGTAACCGGCTTCCCAATTACCCGGGAAGCCGACTTCATGTTCCCCGGTGACGAGTAAGCATGTAGCCGGCTTTCTGGCCAGCTTCCCGACCAATCAGGAAGTTGGACGGCGAGTCATTACACACTGTCCAGCTTTCTGATTGGCCGGGAAGCTGGCTCCATGCTCCCTCGTCACTTGGTGCCCCGCTTCCTGATACCAGGCGTTCCGGTATCAGGATAGGCATCAGGAGCATTTGCGCAAGTACGAGTAAATCGCCCAAATACTCGGTATCTGCACCGATACTAGTATAGTTACATCCCTAATTTTTACAAATGCCAACCTGATGGGAAAAAGCACAGTTATACCAATTCCAGTTCACTCAAATCTGACACATTAGTGTAATAAGAATAGCTGGCAAACATATTCTTTAGTCTCTGTACATGACATTGTAATAATGTAAAAGAAAAGCTCAACTAAACTGAGAGACCATCACCTTGCCCATTGGGGGCAAAAAGGGCAGTGTTTTTGTAAAGGCACCTCCTCCCCGATATTAACCCTGCCAGCGGACCCACACCACTTCCAGCCTCCATCACATCCAGTAGTGGAGCACTAAGGCGAGCAGGAAAGTCACTCCCCCTGTCATGCGACAGTCCTTGGTCCTTTACAAAAACACTGCCACTACGCCCTGAATGTGCAAAGTGACATTGTATCTAACTGTGGGCTTTACCACTGCTATGTAGAACCTAACACAAACAAAAAACTTTTTTAAAAAGGCTGACGGAAATCTGGCCAATTTAAACTCAGCAAATAATGTAACATGTATAATGAAAGGTTTCAGTTACCTTTAGTGAAACACATGTGTCCAAACAATCAAAATCCAGCGAGAAAGGGGTTGATTTACTAAAGGCCAATAGGCTGTTCACTTGGAAGGGAATTTCTCAGCTTAGTGAATGAGCGATGCTGAATTCCTGGATCCAAAAGCTAAGGGAAAATTCCCTTGCAAGGTGTACAGCCTATTTGCCTTCAGTAAATCAACTCCAAAGACTGCAAGTTAAAAGCAAATTACAAATTTCCCTCTAATTTGCTCCGGCCCATCCCCTTCCAAGTCTTCCTATGGGTTGGTGAGGCTGACAATCAAATTAAAGGACCAAAAAGAAGAAGACTTAAGAGGCCGGGATACCAAGGAACTCTTCTGTTGTTCATGGTATTAAAGCTATGTCCTTTCTCCTGGCTCAAATACAGACATGCCAAAAGGCAGGATGACACCAGGGTATCTTATGGTTCCAACAATGACATTCAAAAGCATTATAAAAAGAGAAAAAAAAAAAAAGGCCTGCAAGGTCCACTAGTATCCCAAAGATACTAAGCAAGTAATGATGATCCAGTAGAAAAGTACAGCCCAGCTTCAGAGTAAATATTCTTAAACTGATCATACTCAGTGTGAATTTTGTCTGGTTCATTGATGAACCGTCCAAAATTCGTTTAGCAGGTGCCCCCGTGGACACCCTTTGACTCCAATTAAGAGAAGAGAAAATTCTTCCAGGGGACTAAAAGTTTTTTTTTTAATTTGCACATAATTCTGTCAAAAGTTAGTTTTTCTTTCTGTATAGATACCTTAGAAACGTCTCAATATATCACAGCTAATCATACCTTTAACACCTCCATCTTTAAGCCACTGTCAGAGGTAGGACCATCAGGCAATTGCAGAGCCTGCACAAATGCCTCTGTAAATTGCTGCACTACAGGAAAGATCAAAGCATGTGCTACCCCCTGCAAGAAGAAAATATGGTAGGAAATTTAATAAAAATGGAAAGATGCAACATTTCATTATCAAAGAAAAAAGTTAAAAATATGATGTCCGCGTTTACAGTTTAAAATATTTCTAACCTTTTCTAGTTCTTCCATAGTACAGATCATATGTGCACATGTGGTGAAGATCTCAACAGCCCGGGCTCGAGTCCGAATGCTATAAACCTGTAATATTAGGGTTGAGAGACAAACTGTAAAGTGCATTTAATATCACAAGCATGCATTACTTCAAAGTTTAAAAGTGCCTTTATTCCCCTTCTCCAATCTAGGAGTCTCCTACAGCCCTACCACGTCAAACTTTACATGACAGAAAACAGACGTTTCATAAACTATATAGTCTGTGTTATGAACATTAATATCATATTCTAAATAACCTTATTACATCAACTACACATAATTTATAGCAGGGATTTCAAACTCAATTTAATCATGGGCCGCATCAACATTATGGTTGCCTCAAAGGTATCTGTAAGACTATATAAATGTATCTAATCTTTATCATAATTGCCTCTGCATTCGATTATCACTGGTTTTAGTAATAACTTAATATCTAGATCTGAAAGTAGAAGTCTAGGAAATGGCCTGGTGGGCCGGATTCGGCCCCTCGGCCTTGAGTTTGACACATGTGATTTAAAGTATAAATGTACATTCATATTAAGTACACTGCTTGCCTAGCCATCCTGATCAAAAGGCATCAACTATTCTCCCATCCCAGATTTTCTCCTACCTGAATCCGATAGCTGTGGCTGGCAGATTAAATTTTCTTCCTGCTGGCTACACCCACACAACCTATTGCTTACAGACTTCTATGGGGTTGTCACCCAAAACTATAGACAGCCTTTTCAACTTCATTGGCTTAAAGAGAGCCCCCTCAGGAAAAATGGCCATTGCCAACTTCTCATACTGCAAATGTTTAATGCCTGGCAATCATGCTGACCCTCTGGCTTCAGTAACATAGGAGAAATGTGCACATAAGGAATTCTGACTCTCACTTTGCCTATGTGCATACTTGTTCTTGCTTGGTGACAAAGTTCTGAAACCATGAAACCAGCGGGACAGCATAACAGCCAGACAACTAGAATTTTCTAGTAATAGCCATCTTTCATGGGTATGTCAGGAAAGTTTTTTTTTGTTATCATTACTATTGCTAGTGTGGTAGCGGAGGACCCTGCACAATAACTACTCTTTGCACTGAACAAAGGAATTTGTGAACTCATGCAACAAACAACTGTTTGATTAGGCTATGATGGCAAAAACCACAACTCAATTTATTTACTGCATAAGCACAGTTATGGAATGGTTAGAAAGCGCCTGTGCCCAATAGATCTGAATTCCATGGGTGTTTTGCTTCATGACAGAGTCAAATACATTCTATGACAAGCACTTGATTTCTGAGGTGTAAAAAGAAACAAAATAAACACATACGTCACTCATAGTGAAGATCTTGTACATCTCTGGCAGGATGACTGGAGCAACCAAGGGCATCTGTGTATCTGTCACTTCTCTAGTGAACTCTGCAAGAACAGGTTGATAACATTATTATTCTTATACAGGATTGATATAGTGCAAACAGTTTGTACAGAGCTTTACAAAATAAATTGCAACAGTACAGTTCAAGACAGGTCAGGAAGGCCCTGCTCGTAAGAGCTTATAATCTAAGGGAAGTTACACAAAAAGGAAGTAACTGTGTGGGGATAAGTTGTATGAAAAAGTAAAATTTCAGGTAGATCTGGGATAGGGTTCCTCAAATAGATGAGTTTTCAGGGATCGCCTAAAGGCAAAGTAACATTAGTATACTGTATATATTTAACATTTTCTACAAATCTGCCTGATTTAATCTGCTAATGAAAAAAATAAATAAATTACTGCCCATACATACATGAATTAAAAAAGCATATATTAATGCTTCATGAGAAAACCTCAAAAAGGCAGAAACAGCATATCCCCAAAACAAACACCATCAGCAAGAGAAACAGTTGTGTCAAGCCGAAGCACTCTAATACGATCTGATATTTGTTATTTTATTACAGACATTTGAATACGTTTATATTTTTAAAAGCCAAAAGATCACTTTAACGTTTATTACCAGTTCAAAGCAACTTGCAGCAATCTCTTCACAGTAATTCCCAAAATGGAGTACAAATTTAGAACACTAGGCATCGCTATGGACACACCGAGGCCATCCTAGTAACACCAAGACTCTCAATGACAGGGGCAGGTCTGGACACAATAGCAGATCACACAGAGCAAACAACGCTGGACTGGTAAGTAAAAAAAGCACCCAGGGAAGGAAGCCCAATTAACATGCTATACAAATGAGGAATGAGAAAATCACACCAACACAGGATACTGGTGAGATCAGAAGGAATACATTTCCTCACTAGCTTACCAGACTCAGACCCACAGGACCACTGGCCTACACTTCACAGCTAGGACAAGTTGGTAGAAGATTGCACCCCAGAACCAATATAAATGGGAACAAAATAAGACATTAAGTCAGGGGTGGACAATGAAGGGGGCGTGGCCCCGGAAACGCGTCATGTAGGCATTTGAGCTGTCACTTAATCCTGTCAGTGCAGCTCTCATCCATCATATCCTGGTTACCAATCCTTGGACTTTGAAAGCTCCTTTGTGATCTACTCTTGTGAGTACAATTTTATCTTTGCTGCTTCTCAATAATATTGATCCACACTAGGGTAGGCGCCCCTTGTCTTTTGTTCTCTTCCCAGGGGTGGAAAATATAATAAGGGATTTAGGAGCCAGCCTGTCCAATCCATGAGCAGGAGGATTTGTTAAGAACCCAGCTCCATTGACAACAACTAGAGAAAACCTCAAATGTTGTTAGGTACCAGCTGTAATTCTTAAGGAGCCATGGCTACCTGGCCATGTATTAAAGTAGCCTGAAGTTGTTAAAAGTCCACTAAACACAAGACAAAGCAAGTGGCTACTGTAAACCTTTTAAAGAGGAACTTTACCCATATCTTTAAAATGACAGACACCTTTAGAAATGTTTAGTGATGACAATCTACAAACACATACTTCTAGATAATTGCTGTCTTTGTATTCTTTGCATACTTAATTCTCTTTTCCTTCCTATTCTTCCGACAGTGGCCATGTTAACTAAGGGCAGATTACTAGATCTCGCTTTACTTCCTGGAACTCTGGCAGATGTGACTAGGACATGTGACCATGCACATCATCTCAGGGGAGGAAAATTACTTTCCCTGAGATCTCATGAGATTTTTCAGCAATGCACTGCTGTTGTAACCTTCGAAGGAAGCAACGCTTTGGCACATTACACCATTTGTGCCAGAACTGGACCAGGAAATAGATGAACTCTATTTGTAAGTAAATGAAAAACAAGTTCAACTAAGGAATGCAAGATGATGTTAAATCATCATGCAGAGTTGCATGCTGCTGTGATTTTAGTGAAAGGGGGTAAAAGTCCACTTTAAATTCCTTTTAGGTTTGTCTGCCAGGTAAGTGGAGCCACCTTTTATGAACTGCTGTCCAAAAGAATGTGTGAGAAATCCACTTTCCTAGCTAGCACTAGGCCGCTTAAAAAAACAAACAAAAAAGATCAGATTTCATAACATTAAACAATTATGTAAAAAAAAAAAAAATATTAAGATGACATTTCTGACTTTACAGACTTCTCCAGGAACAGTTAAAACCAAAATGCTCATAAATAAAAACACATACTCACTACAACGAGATGCAAGAGAGAAACAGCTGACTTTTTAGGCACCACCATGACCACTTTAATTTATATTAAAAAGAATATTTTATTGTAGAGATCTCTCATAAAAATCGCCAGATGGTAATAAAGAACATCAACATGTTTAACCCCTTCATGACTGAGGCCCTTTTTTCAATTTTTGCACCCATGTTATATTCCACATTTTAGGCCTGAAAATGACGTAAAACAGTATCAAGTAGTTGGACCCGATTAGCCGTATATAAATCATACAAATATAATTATAAATACATGTTAGCAGTGATTATGCAGGTTTTAGTGGAGGGGTGCATATCTCTACCTCTATGCGTTTCACTGCCCCCACCGCTTCTTCAGGAGCTTACATGGGCATTTGGTCATAGTTCAAAGATCAACATGGTTATCTGAACGCACAAGCAGGGGAAATGATGCATTAAATCGACTGGGTGGGTGTCTAGGCACACTCGACTTGACCTCCCCAATCCAAGTTGTGAGTTGTTGTAGACTTGAGACAACTACATCACACTACATACAAGACAGATATCCAAAGCCAACAAAAGAAGCAGACTGTTTTTTGAATATCAGGGTTGGCAGCCTTATTTTAATCAATATTAATGTTCCCTAAGAGGGATTGCTGGCTGTAACTAGCTGTGGAGCGGCCAACGAATCTTAGAATCTATGGTCTTCGTAGTGGTCTCAAGTCTACAACATCATATAACCTGGATTGGGGAGGTCAAGCAAAGTGTGCCCAGATGCCCACCCAGTCGATTTGATGCATAGTTTCCCCTGCTTGTGCGTTGAGATAACCATGTAGATATTTGAGCCATGATGTACGAGCTATCTTTGAGCCATGACTAAATTCCCATGTAAGCTCCTGAAGAAGCAGTGGTGACAGTGAAACGCATAGAGATATGCACCCCTCCACGGAAACCTGCATAATAACTACTAACATGTATTTATAATGATATTTGTATGAGTTATATACAGATAATCAGGTCCAACCACTTGATATATTGAGGGGTTGCAGTTCCATGTGAGTCATAGGCTCATATATTTTTGAGCAAAATTAAACATGTTGATGTTTTTTATTACTATTATGTGTATATATATTTTATGAGAGATCTCTACAATAAAATATTATTTTTAATATAAATTGAAGTGGTCATTCATGGTGGTGCCTAAAAAGTCTGCCGCTGTTTTTTTGTCTCTATATATTGTTGGGTGTGGCACCGTTTGAATCCCTGTACATCCCTTTACTATTCACTATGACTAGAAACAGAGCACGTTCCTATCCGATTATAACACAGGCATGATTGCAGTGTTTAGAGAACATTTAAAGCCCCTTTCAAACCAGACACTGCACTAACCGCAAAACGTCTGGTGTCGGTGCCCTGGCAGAGCCCAAGCGCTGATCCGAGCACACTACACTGTGTTTTTTTTGTTACAACTTTACTTGAAATGTCACAAGTGACATTTCATTCAGTTCTATGGGGACAGTGGGGTGGTACTGTGTTGTGTCCTGCTGCGCTGAAAAAGTAAGATATGCCTTACATTTTTTTTCAGCACACACCACTACATTCCTACTGCAATTAAGTGGTGTAAATATGCACCATCCGTGACTAGGCAAATTGCCCCTTCCTGCATTGGGGCTGTGCTGGAAACAATGGAGATGTGTGAATGGACCTTAAGGCTATGTTCACACCATGCCCGGTCCAGATCGGCAAGCGCAGAGCAGTACATTTTACCGCGTTTCCCCCACCCCCCCAACTTAAAATCGGGCTTACAGGTGCAGTCCAGTGCGTTTGCATGCATTTTTGATGCGTTTCTATACTTTCCAGTGCATTCTAGACCAAAGAAAATGAGATAAGCAGTATTTTTTTGTCTGAACCAGAACGGACTGCGATGGTGTAAACAGAGCCAGAAATACCATAGGGATACATTGGGATGCTTTTTTTGGTCCGGGAACAAACTGTTCTAGTCTGGACATGATCCACACATGTTGTGAACAAGGCCTAAAGGTCCAATAATCATAGCCTTTTATAAAGTGGAAATACTAATCAATGCAGATATGTTCACTGTTCAGCCCACATAAGAAAGTTCATAAAAAAAAAAAAACTACAAATCTTACCTTTTGCTGTAATAATGGTAATCCTGCAGTAGTTTGGGCTCTAATGTCAGATCAATGTAAAGGAGATCAATGTAAAGGATCTTGGGAGACTCCTATCAGTAGACTATTAAAGCAGAGCTATTAGCTAGATGTCTCCTGAAACAAGTTCCCAAGATCCTCTGTCACTGACCTCACAACTAATGCTTTGGCACCATTAACATGGCAACTGTTGGTCGCTGCTGGATTACCCTTAAAGCAAAAGGTAAGTCTGTAGGCTTGTCATTAAATATATAATGCAATTCAATATCAAAGTGTATTCTTTATCATTTTACATCTGCTTTAAACATTTCAGTCTAGACAATGTATTAATAACGTATACAGTACATACCCGTCAGCACTCTCATAGCACCATGAACAGCGCTGACTTCACCACTCACTAGCATTTCCATGAGCAAATTAAAAAGTTGTGGCCAGGCTTCAGGCCAGTCCCAGTGTGCTATGGCAGACACAGCATATGCTACACTGGAACGTACTTTGCTGATTGACTCCCGCAGACCTCGTGGAAGCAACAAACGGATTGCAGCCTTTGCCTAAGTAAAGGATTAAATAAACGTAGTCACAATAAATATCTGGATGTAGAAATCTACATTCAGCACTTCACAGATCAATGTACACAATTCAAAGTTACTAACCCTTTCAGTAGTCTCGGGCAATCTGAACTTCTCTGACTGGGCACACCAATGATTTTCAACATACTGCTTCAAAACCACAGATGCCAGCTGAAAGCACAGGAGCAGAGAAAGTCAGGATATATTTTTTTTTTTTTACAGTTTCCAGAACAGGATTCAATAACTCAGATACCCGAGAATTTTTTTTCTCATGACTAACAAGGAAAACAAATGCAGCCACCACATATCCAAGGACCTGCAAGCTTTAACATATGCAATGAGTGTTCTTGGGTTTAGTTATACAGTGCGTAAAACAAAATCAACCTTGACCAGTCAGGCTTGTTATATATGGGTCAAACAATCCAACGTTTGTAAGCACCCCTCAACCTTTAAGATATGCCTGCTTAATGTCTGTTTTCCTGATCACCACTGTTCCCTCCAGAAAAGCTGGCATCAGGCAGATTGCTAAACTGTGCTAACAGCTTTTTCAAATTTACAGCCAACACTGCCGCTAAAAAGACTATACAACACTCCTAAACTAAGGGTGCTTTAGGGGTTTCCAAAAAATGTGCTTATGGTCTACAAAATATTGATTGTTCATTGAATCTAATTTTTTAAGTTAGCATTTACATGCCCACTACACAGGTCTTAAATAATAAGGTCACTTATACTTTAGGGGTCCGCTCCCCATGCTAAACATTTTACCAATAGTGTATACTTATGAAAACTGTAGGACTTAGGCCCCGGTCACCCCTAAGCATCAGCGTTTTCGCACATATTAGCGTTAGACGCGCACACATGAAGACGTGCGTTTTAGTGGGCAGACTGAAAGAAATTGTGGTCAATAGACAAACGCAAGTAAAAACGCACACAAATGTGCAAAACGCTTGCGTCGCGCATTTCCATTGAAGTCTTTGGGGCCCAAACGCGGTGTAATCTGCCCCAAAAAAAAAAGTTCATATACTTTTTCCAGCATTTTACAGCTTGCAACAAAAAGCTCACATGTGAACAGAGGCCATTAAAATTAATGGGATTTCTTGTCTTGAGAGTTCAGTCGTGCTTAGCTTTGAGCCTAAAAACGCCTAGGTGTGAACACGGACTCAAACAATAATTCTTTTTGCAAAGAAAAAAAATAAAATAAATGCATACTTCTTCATAAATAAAAAAAAAAATGGGTATTTACTTTTTTTTTTGCATAGTAGCCAGTAAAGCATTGCAAGTGTGATCAGTAGATCGGGGGTGCAACGCTCTGTTTCTTACAGACTGTTCCTCCTGTCCATGTGCATCCCGAGGTACGGACATGCAGTAATTTTGAGCCCGGCTCCTTTGACAAGAGTTGTTTCCTGTGAAGCAGCTGAAAGCTTTAGCATGCCTCCTGCTATGCTACAGGCTTTATAAGTGTTCTAAAGCAAAGTGGACCGTACACTGAGCACCAATGCCTTATCAGCAACTATTTTTGTTTTTAAAACAGAATTCCAGGAAAAATTACTATTAACCCTTGAAGTGGGGCTACCACTACACTGCAAGGGTTAACTGCTCATTTTGGTCTAGGGCTGAAAATAACTCATCTGATTCTCTAAGCCGGCTGTCTGTGACAACGCTCCCTCCAGCCTGTCTCCTCCTACACTGCAATGATTGCATGTTCCTCAGCGTCCTCACGTCTATACACTGTGATGATTCAGGGGACCTTAGACTGTGCCTTTCTCCAGAGGTAGAGAAAGGCACAGGGACCGGTCTACGAGCAAGCCGGCTGAATATAATTTTTTTTACATTTTCCTCCCTACACATAAACGAGCACCTAATCCTTGCAGTGCGGGGATAGTAACACTACAAGCAATAACCATATTCCCCGGAGTTCTTCTTTAAATGCAGAAACAGCTGTTCCTCAGAAGTGTTTTGTTAAAATGAAAAGAATAAATATATAATGTATTTGCAGCCATCAGCAAATTAATGCAGCAGAAAAAAGTTCACACCAAATCTGGATCAGAGCTCAATGAGTTTCTGCATATGCAGTGCATTTTGACGCGTTCCGGTCCGGGCTTTCAGGTGTAGTCCAGAGCGTTTGCATGCATTCCAAAGCAGAAAAAAAATAAGGCATGCTGCAGTTTTTTCACATGCTCTGGAACTGAATGCTGTGGTGTGAACTAGAGCCCAAAATAACATTGGAATACATGGGATGCATTTTTGATGCAATCTGTAACTGCTCTGCACTTGGTGTGAACTAGCCCTGAGGCGAATGCATCAAAACTGTAGCAGACAGAATTTGGAGTAGTTGTCCATGGCAACCAACGAGCTTCTATCTTTCATTTTTAAACCTTAACTGAAAAAACAGAAGAAAGCAGCTGATTGGTTGCCATCAGCAACTGCTCCAGATTCTGTCTGCTCCAGTTTGGATAAATTCCCCCTTTTGAGTGCGTTTTAGTTTTATAAAAGTGTATTTTTCTATCTGCTTACATCTTTTGCATTTAAAATATACAGAAAACAAACTAAATATTTAAAAATACCACCAGATTGCAGTGTTTCCCCACAAAAAAAGTATAATATATGCCTCACTTCCGAATGATACATGATAGCATTATTTCTGAATTAGTAGGCCTATAGCTGAAAAGTGAAAATGGAAGGCTCCACTCCCTCCCAGAGGTTTGCCTTAACAAAACAAAGTAGTCAAATGTATAAATGTGAACCAGGCATCACACTGCACATGAGGGGAAAAAAACATATGATTTGCATCCATGACATTTCTACTTACTGTATTTAATCTCCCTCTCTACGAATATATTTTGTAATGGGCAAAGTAATATTAACAGTCCGTGTGTGTGTCAAACCAAAACCTTTTCTTTTTAGTTTTGTAAAGAGTTGGGGGAAGGATTAGAACCCCTGTTTTTTTTACTATTTGGGGTCCACAAGAGATACTTTGTAAAAAAAAACACTGTCAGCAAGAAAGGAAGTGATGAATAGCAGTAAAATCCAACAGTAAAACTCTTCCCTAATCTGTTCAAAACAAAGACAAACATTTGGTTAGGCATTCACTAGAGAATGAGAGAGTAATAAAGTCACAGAAAGTCTGGATAGAAGATAACTTATCTACTGTTTTACCTGTCTAATGGCCAGAGCACCTTGTGGGTCAACTGTCAGCTCAGCCAAATGTACCCCAAACTCTGATAAAAGAGAAAAAAGTGAGCAAACATTAACCACCCTTCTTATGTTAGCAATATGTATCTACAGATGTAATTCAATTATACATGTCTACCAAGGCTTCTAATAAGTCAAGGCAACTGGGCTTGCTGTATTTTTCTTGAAGACGTTTCACTGCTCTAAGAAAACTGCTTGGATGACCAGTGAAACATCTTCAAGAAAAATACAGCAAGTCCAGTTGCCTTGACTTATTTTTTTTACAGATATACCTTCACTACCTAGGCAGAAGGTATGGAGCTCTACTGAGACCTGTATGGGCTACATTTGCTTTCAAAGACAATGCAAACAGCCAAAAACACCATATTTTATTGTCTTATATCTGCAACTGTCAAAGCCTCATGTGGACATAATACAGTGCAATCCTTACTGGGTTCAGTACACAGGCCGTACTATGTAGGCTGGCCACACATAGTACAATCTGAATGAGCAACTATATAGTGCAAAGGTGTTACTATAAAGCTAGCCAACCAACCACGGCTCACATTTTAGCCAATTCTTGCTTAATTAGCCACAATTCAAGCGGAGGATGGCCCTGTTGGCACCACAAAATTTTATTTTAACTGCAACTAAAGCCATAAAGGCCGTGACACACTGCACGCGAAGCAGTGCAGAGCGAAGCAAAGCTCTCCGGCACGGAGCTTCGCGTGCAGTGTGTGAGCTGAGTGCAGTCAGATGATTGACTGCGCCTTCAGCCAATCGGCTCGTCTGTAATAACCGGCCAGATGTCGCATCCCGTCACGCTGGTTTATACGCGCGAGCCGATTGGCTGAAGTTGAAATTGTTCATCTCGACACGCTCATCTCCGCGAGCTCTCGCAAGCTGAGGTACCCAGAAGAAAATTACATGACACACTGCTCGCAAAGGCAGCGCACCACCGCTCCGCGCTGCTTCGCCTGCAGTGTGTGACGGCCTTAAGTTTTTCTTTTAGTTTTGGATAGAGTGGAGGAGGATTATAACACCTGTTGTGTTTTTATTGCCGTCTGTGTCCCCCCCCCCATTAGGAAGTTCCACCCCCACCATTTGTCCTGGTGACCGTTACTCCTGAAAGTGAAAGAAAACCCCAAATTTTTGGTCGTCACCACAAGAGGAGTAGATGGGAAATCTTCCAATGGAGAGACTAGTTCTGGTGACCTTGCCGACTACCAGGGATTTCCTCACTTTATGTTGTGGCTGTCAGACAGAAAGTGAAGCAAAATCTCCCCAATGTGACACAGATGGCAAAAAAAAATGCTGACAGGGGTTACGACCCTCCCTTACTTTATCCAAAACTAAAACATACGTTTTGGCTTCAGTTCTACTATAAAAATCCACTGAGCCGAGACTTCTTTGTATGTTATTTGTTTTTCAATAAACTTTGTATAAAGAAAAAAAAAAATCCACTGAGCTGGATGGAAAATTCTCTCTCAAACAGTGACAACATCCAATCGGATGCAGTCACTGGTCAAAATTCGGACAGCAGCAGGTGTCACAGCCGTCTGAATACAATAGCTGGAACTAGAGATTACTCCATCCATGCAATTTACATGAGTGGAATTGAGTGATTTTCTCAGCCCATTGCAAAAGTTTTAGCAGATGTGAAAAAAAGGTGTAAAGTATGAATGTTTTCAGAAATAAAAGTGTTTAGTTTAATTTTTTTCAATTAACAAAATGAAAAGTAAATAAACAGAAGAGAAATCCAAATCAATATTTGGTGTGACCATCCTTTGCCTTCAAAACAGAATCAATTTTTCTAGGTACACTTGCACACAGTTTTAGGATGTCAGCTGCCTCAAATCCTTCTGTCTCTTCATGTCATCCCAGACAGACTCAATGATGTTGAGATCGGGGCTCTGTGGGGCCAAACCATCACTTCCAGGACTCCTTGTTCTTCTTTACGCTGAAAATGGTGCTTAATAACATTGGCTATATGTTTAGGATCATTCTCCTGCTGCAGAATACATTTGGGGTCAATCACACGCCCTCCTGATGGTATGCCATGATGGATAAGTATCTGCTTGTATTTCTCAGAATTGAGGGCACCATTGATCCTGACCAAATGTCAACTTCAATTGCAGAAATGCAGCCTAAGACTTGCAAGAAACCTCTACCATGCTTCACTGTTGCTGCAGACTTATTACTGCACCGCTCTCCAGCCCTTTGGTAAACAAACTGCCTCCTGCTACATCCAAATATTTCAAATTATTACTCATCAGTCCAGAGCACCTGCTGCCATTTTTCTGCACCCCAGTTCCTATGTTTCCGTGCATAGTTGAGTCTCTTAGCCTTGTTTCTACGCCGAAGGTATGGCTTTATGGCCGCAATTCTTCCATGAAGACCACTTCTGGCCAGACTTCTCAGACAGTAGATGAGTGTACCTGGGACCTGCTGGTTTCCACCAGTTCGGTGTTGAAGGGACTGCTGGACATCTTTCGATGTCAAAAGGGAAGTAAGCATGATGTGTCTTTCATCTGCTGCATTACGTTTCCTTGGCCGACCACTGCGTCTACAGTCCTCAACATTGCCCGTTTCTTTGTGCTTCTTCAAAAGACCTTGAACAGCACATCGTGAAACTCCAGTCTGCTTTGAAATCTTTGCCTGGGGAAACCTTGCTGATACAGTATAACTACCTTGAGGTGAATTTATCAAAACTGTAGCAGACAAAAACCAGAGCAGTTTGCATGGCAACCAATCAGCTTCTATCACTCATTTTCAAATCTCAACTGAGCAAACTGAAGAAAGATGCTGATTGGTTGCCATGGGCAACTGCTCCAGTTTGATAAACCCCCCCCCCCCCCTTGTGTCTTGTTGCTGTGGTCAGTCTTGCCATGGTGTATGACCTGTGACATGAAACTGTCTTCCACAACCTCGCCTTAGTAGCAGAGTTGGGCTGTTCCTCACCCAATTTTAAGCCTCCTAGTCAGCTGTTTCTGTTAATGACTGTATTTTAACCTACATATGAAATTGATGATCATTAGCACCTGCTTGGTATAATTGGTTAATCGTACGCCTAACCCTAATCTTACAAAATTCCCGACTCTGTGCAAGTGTAAGCATTGATGATGGTTTGAAGCCAAAGGGTAGTAACACCAAAAAGGATGAGGATCTACAGCAAAATGATACAACAATAAAGTACATTTTTGTTAATAATTAAAAGTACTTGAATTTATTTTGAAGGTTTAACTCCTGAGTTTAGTGTCACTTTAATTGTTCCAACAGCACCATCCTTTGTAAATCTGGAGGCTATAGAATATAAATTATGAATAATCAGATTGCAATGTATTGCCAGCTTTAAAGAACCAGGACCATTGTCCTTAAAGAGGAACTTCACTTCCCCCCCCACCCCCATTTTGTATTAACGACCTCTTACTTTTTTGGCTGGGTAAAACACTAAGGCCTGGTTCACACCTGGGCGTTTTACATCGCGTTCCTACGCGCTGTAAAACTCTCAACATGTAAAAACCAATGATTGCCTATGGGCATGGTTCCCACGTGGGCGTTTTACAGTGCGTAGGAACGCGCTGCAAAACGCCCCTACGCCCAAAGAAGTACAGGAGCTTTTTTGGGGCGTATTTGCCGCGCGTATCCATTGGTATACAGCCGGATAGCCCTCGAAAACACGCGTTTGCCGCGCATTTTTTTACAGCGAATCGCGCATATTCGGTACGCCTAGGTGTGAACCCAGCCTATGGGTACGTTCACAGCAGATGCAGTGTGTTCCGTCCAATTCTGGCAGGAACGCACTGCATCGCGGCCCAGTCACTTTTGTGTGGGGCAGGAGGGGGGCGTGGCGGGCCATTGAAGTGAATGGCACCATAGCCACGCTCTCCGGCCGCAATGCGATTGCCCGCACTGAACCGCTTGCAGCAGTTTGATCGCACCGCACGCACAATGTGCCTTGCGATCCAGTGCGGGCGATCGCATTGTGGCCGGAGGGCGTGGCTACGATACCATTCACTTCAATGGCCCGCCACGCCCCCTCCTGGCCCAATGCGATGCCGTGCGTTCCGGCCAGAATCGGACCGGAACGCACTGCATCTGGTGTGAACGTACCCTTAAAAAGCTGGCCATACACTGCTCACAAACTCTAGCAGTGTGTGCCCCCCTCGAACCGGATCGAAAATTATTGAACAGCGACTGCAGCAGTCATTCAGCTGCAGTCACTGATTGCGTATTCTGACAGAGTATTCTGGGTCCCTGTAAGATGCAGCACAGCATGGCATCAGGGGGTTGCCAGCAAGAACCCAGGAACAGACAGCACATGTGACGAAGAGTAACCCGAGACTTCCTGGGATGCACAATGTGGGTATCCAGGAGGCCATGGGGAACACATCACTTTTTGGCTAGGTGAGAATGCAAGATTTTTAGAGCTAAGGGAGGTTAGGAGTGGAATAAGAGAAAGTGGGTCAAGATCTGCTTTAATAACATTTACAGAACCTGAAACTATGTTAGTATACTAGATTTACATTTCCAAAGTGTTTCTAAACAATTAAAGGGGGAGCATGGGGTAGCCCAGCCCTATGATGGCCACAGTTTCTTTTCCCTCCAGGACTGTTGTATATGATAAGTTGGAGCTGAGTGCCAATCACCCATCACTGGTCATTACAGGGCAGCCTTTAGACACCATCTGAGCCCATCATGACTGCGTTCAACCATGTCCTCCATCACAAGGCACCCCCATCCCATTCATTCCTCGCCCCCTGGGTACCACACTCACCCTCTGTCACTTCCAGCACTTTCAGCTGCTCCTCCGCTGCCGCCCGCACCTCATGTCCCGAGGACAGGATACCGCTCAGCGTCTCCAGCAGGGCCTCCCTCAGGCCTGCCTGAACGGTAGGGAGGGGGCCGGCGGTGCTCTGCGCCATGACACCGGGAACAACGAGGCGAAGGCTGGGAGACTAGCCGACACACCGCAAAGCCTAGCGCGCCAACACCGCCCGCCAAGCTTCACACGAAGGGAGAGAGGGAGGGATCACGCCGGGGACAAGAGGCGGATACACGCACGTTCAAGGCTAGGGTCATGGGTGAAGTGTTCTCATGGGCACTGCTCCTGTCACACATATGACTGGCCTCCTCCAGGGCTCATGGTCATGTAGTCACACACACAATGCTGTCCCGGGCTAGAAACATGAAACTTGTAGTTCCCCAGCAGCTGGAGAGCGACAGGTTGCTGAGTGAACTTGTGAGGCGTAAGGCGCTGTGGTCACGTGGTTTCGTTTTCCCTATCTGTGGTAATATAGCGGCCCGGCTCCTCAGGAGAAAATGCCGGGCAGGGTGAAACATTAAAATAATTTCTCCTAACACTGTTTGTGTTACCTCACACGCTGGCCAATTTACTAAAGCTGTGTACAGTAACCAATCAGCTTCTCTCTTCATTTTGTTCAATTAGGGCTCATTCACACCAGACACTGCACTAATCACGCAGAGTTTGATGTGCGGTGGCCTGGCACAGTCCTGAAGCACTGATATCAGCGCATTGCACTGTGTCCTTTTTTTTTGTTAGAACTTTATTGAACTGTCACAAGTGACATTTCATGCAGTGATGTGAATAGGCATTGGGGTGCGCTAGAAACAACAGCCAGCGCAGCTCCAACGCAGATGGTGTGAAATTGAAAAGCAGAAGCTGGTTATTATAGGCAACTGCTCCAGATTCTCCCTGCTCCAGGTTTGATACATTTCCCTCAATTCGTTTTTTTTCCCGCTGTACAAGAAATGGGATTCTCCCACTGGTCTATTGTATTCTCATGGTGGCGGGTGAGCCACTGTCAAGTCACTTCTCAGATTTTTCTGACTGGTTTGAAAAGACACGCTACTGGAATTTTGAGCAGTGTATGGCTAGCTTTAGTCCTCGTTCACATCTGTGCAATTTTCTGTCCATCATGCGTCGCACTTGAGGAATTTTCCTATGGTGCCTATTCACATCTATGTGATTTTCTTTCATCCATTTGTCCTTCTTTTGGTGTGACCTGGCATGGTTTGGGCCCCATAAACTTTAAAGAACTCCAGGCAAATAAAATGTTAACCCTTGCAGTGAGGCTACCCTAAGTGCTCGTTTTAGTCTAGGGAGCTAAAATAACAGAGTTATACTCACCTGAACCACGACCCCAGCTTGCTCTTAGACCAGTCCCTCCAGCCTCGCTCCCCCTTCACTCCAGTGGTCCAAGGTTTCTGTGAGTCATCACATCCAATACAGTGTATAGAACGTGAGGATACCAAGAGACATTCTATCTCTGGAGTGAAGGAAGAGACAGGCTGGGGGGAGTGGTGTAGGACTTTTCCTGTGCCAGCGAACACTGCTTTGATACCGAGAAATCGCTCCCCTGATGTCTCTGGTGGGAGTGGTCTAGGAGAAAGACAGGATCACGGTTCGGGTGAATATAACTTTGTTATTTTGAACCCTAGAGAAAACGAGTACTTAGCTCTCGCAGTGCAGGGGTAGCCCCATTGCAAAGGTTAGGATTTTATTGGGGCGGAGTTCTTCTGTAGGCCTCTGTTCACACATTTGAATGGGCTACCTACTACTGCTAAACACACACTCAAGGGAGTACAAGCACCTATTTTAAAGTGGCATCACATTGTGAAAGGTTACCATGCTATGTGGTGCAATACAACACACACGCAATGGCAAGGTGCGTTGGTGGGCCACTAAGTCCCCGTTTACACCTAGGCATTCTGTTGCTCAAAGGTAAGCGGGACAAAAGCCCAAGTCAAGGAATCCCATTCATTTATTTGCCACTGTTCACTCCTGAATGTTTTGTCATAGGAAAATGCCTGTTGCTGGAAAAGGCATATGAGCTACTTTTTGGCAGATGACAGCACTTTTTGGTCCCATAGACTGCAATGGAAAAGGTTGTGTGACACAAATCGCAGAAGTTTATGGGACCAGGAAGCAATGTAGTTTTTCCAGCGACAAAACATTCAGGTGTAAAGAGGCGATATAGGATTTAATGGGATTCTTTGTCTTGAGCGTTTTGTTGCACTTACCTTTGAGCAACAAAACGCCTAGGTGTGAACAGAGGCTAAGTGAAAATGGCATCGCAGCACGCCTAACATTGCAACATGCGATGCAGGATCACGTGTGGCATTGTACCCACACCTGCATCGCAAATACAGTAGGTGAATGAAGTGTAATGTAATCGTATCAAAGAGTACTTGGATTTTAAAACATTTTAATGCTTTTTTTTTGCCATAACAACTTTACACAGGCTGCAGAGAAGATGTAGAGACAAGGCGGCTGAATGACAGGGCCTCTCTTTTCTCTATTTGCGATAAGTGGATGGACCCATTATTTTCATTTCCTCTTCTCCACCTTCTTCCAATCAAAATGGTGGTGGCATGCATTGGTATAGCGGTCCATGGCACAACATTGCAGTTCAGCTACGCAGGCAAACAACAGGCAGAGGAAGCAGGGAGGTTGAAAGAAGATGATACCTAATGAGGTCATATGAGATAATGCTTGTCATTGGCCTAAACAAACAAATGTGAAAGAAGCATGAAAGATGCAGATGCACAAGCGTAAACCAAGCCATTTTTTTAGCACGTTTTTGTTGGCCATTTTTCATGCATTTTTTGTTTTGGCTATTAAAGGGGAAATACAGTATAGGTTGCTAGGGAGTGGAGGCTTGTTGTCATGCACTTAAACGTACAAAAACATGCACTTGCACTTAAAACGTACAAAAAACATGCACTTAAACGTGCACTTAAACGTCATGCACTTAAACGTACAAAGGTCATGTTATCTGTATTTTTATGCATTCCCATTGAAGTTTATGTGGATAAAAACGCACCAAACGAAGCACCTTCACCATTCTCCAAGTCACACGGAAGCACATTGCATAGGTGTGTTTGGACCCCATAGAAAAGAAGGATTCCTTTTGGCGTGCATTGTCGTGCGTCAGCCAAAGTGCTTTAAATCGCATGGAACTGGGACTTGTAGGACTCTAGATAGGCAGAGCCAGCTGTCAATCACGCAGCTGGGTGGATCTCGACAGTAATGCGTTCGTGTGTTTCCTGACCGGACAAAATGTGACATGCAGTATTTTTTCAGTCAGGAACGGACTGCACACATGAGAACTGTAGCCCATAAAACACATAGGGATACATTGGGATGCATATTCAGTGCAGGAACAGCTTTAGTGCAGGAGCAGATCAGGTCAGCACAGAATACGGACGTCGTGTGAACAGGCCCTGAGACCAACCAAACATAAATAAAATGTAACATTTTTAAAGAAAGAGAATAAGCTTCTTAGATAAGTGTGGAACTTCTGTGCATACATTAAATAAAGGGGGTTTTAATATCCCTTCAATAAACCACACAGTAAATTTCATTGCTACAATAACATGAATTAATGCTACTTGTAGCAGTTTTACACGGAAGAACGTGAAGCCTTTTCTTGTGCTAAACACTAGAGACAAACCGTTCCCTATAACCGTCTCCCTCCTAGGATTCCAGGTCTCTTGATCGCCAAATTTGCATTGAAGTTTGTCTCCACAAAAATGGCCGACCACAGAGCATCTCCAAGCACTCTACATTCAGCAGCGGCGACAACATGCATTATATGGATAGCCCGGCTTATGTCATCAGTAAGCGCCAGCCAGAACAGGACTGGGAGTAAGTTAAACGGCGACTATAATTGCGATATAGGTTATGTTGTTATTCTATCCTGTAGGTGACAGCTGTGTGCTATTGGACTATCGGAAGCTTTACACGGACATACGCCTTGAACATGCCTACAAGACAGGTTATGAGGAGGGCTTTCTGAATGGAATGCACATATGTACGTACAGTTGTTGGGGATATGGCAGATGCAGTAGAATGCAGAAATATCACAACTCCATTGCATGATGTTCTTGCTGATTATCCTACTGTGTTTGCGTGAACCTTTTTGCTTATATTAGTAATGGCTGGAGCAAGTGGCAGGTTTGGGGAGAAATATTTACTGGTTGACATACAATTGTGTCAGTTCCTGAAACCATAAGTTATTTTATATGTGTCTATTTTGATATTAGCATGTTTAATTACCAAATATAAATACCACAACGTGGAATCATTGTTTTCCATTCAAAATGAATACTAAAGCTTAGCACCAGCCAGGTTTTTTCTCATTACCAGCCCCATCCAGCCAATAAAAGTCAGGTATAAAGGGGAACTTCACTCCCCACCCCCTTGCCTTTTTTGCTTAGTTATCCTCAAAATAAGAACATACTCGCATGCCCGGTAATCCAGCGGTGTTCTGTCCCTACCCACTCTTTATCATCTAACCCCTTCAGAATTCATTTTCTTTTCAGGGGAACCCTCCCCACACTCCCTGGATCCTCACCCAGGCAAGAATGATTGATGTCATTGTCTACAGCCTCGTTGAATACCCACATTATGCATTCCAGGAGGCCTTGCGGTACTGTACTGCCTATGTGGCGTGGCAAAAGAGGGCTGGCTATCTCTTCCTACTTCTTGCAGCAGGTCCTTGGTGACACGCATGTGCGTGGCAAAAGGGGGCCGGCTGCAAGAACCCAGAAGATACAGAGCCGGCTCCTGATGACATCAGAGAAGAGAATAGCGGCACAAGATCAGGTGTAAAGTAGTGGAGTGTTTGATCACTATCCAACACTCAACTACTATACACCTGATTTTGTGCTTAAATCAGACGTGCTTTATTTTACTTCTCCACTACTACTTTCAGTTGCTTGGAGCTAAGAGAAGAAGCATTGTGTAAATGACTTGGAACTTGAAATTGGCTTAATACCTTCAGCTTTTGTGGCTTTTTACCCCTTCTGGATTTGAGCAGTTGTTATACTTTCACCCTGGGAATACCCTTGTTCATTCAGTGATAACTTAATTACTTAAGATAACCCAATCTTTTTTTTGATGGCAATATTGTCTTTTGGCAAATTATTTTATATTCCATGTATATATCTATAGACAAAAAGTGCATGTGTGATGTAAATCTGATCTATTTTAATCGGTGTTGGCTTAAAAAAAAAGTAGTGAAAATGAGGCATATTTATTTTATAGCTCATCCCAGTTAAAATGACAATAAAAAAGATACTTCCCCATTTTGTTGTTTTTGCTCCAGGCCTTTGTGTTAGTGGCTGGGGCTACCCCAGTGGCACAGCCCCTTCTTCTTCTTAAGAAACATTGTACCTGGGTGCTGGAAGAAAACCATTGTTTCTCCTTATGAGTCCTCCGCCCCCTGTCTTCTATCCTTGCCGTTGCCAATGGTTTCTTTCCTTCTTCTTCCCAGTGAGGGAGGGACACCTCCCTGTATGAGTTCTGGCGCAGATTCTGTTGAGCTTCGCACCAGCGGTTTCAAGGTAGGTTGGAGATTATATTTTTTTGTCTTGTGCTATCAATACTTCCTATGTCTATGCATGCTGTGAAATGGGCACAGGTGTGTACTATGCTTACTGGCAGGCAATTTGTTACATCAGGGTCTTTTTTCTAAGGGTGATACTTCTTCAGCTACTGCTCTTCAGCTACTGCACCAGCTGCAGTAGTGAACAGTGAACAGATGTGGCTGGGGGAACCAAATTGGGCGCTGTTTGTGCTTGATTTGTTTGGACATAGTACAGAGTAGACATCAGGGGTCTAATAGACCCCTCATGCCTCTGCCCACTGCTATTACATACAGGGCTTGTTGACCTCCTTGCAATAGCATTAAAGAAAATAAATTAAATAAAAGCTTCCTGCCCCCATGCAGGCGCAGGTATGAATGCAATTGCATACACAAACAACCATGCAACACATATTGGGTACCACTGCACATGCTGCGCATTTGTTTTCAGAACATATAGAATATTTTCAGAGCTGTAGTTAAGACATGCACTCTTTTTTGCATATGTGTAAGAAAAAAATGTTGACCCATTGGTTTGGCAGTGAAAGGGTTAAGGCCGACCTCCAGCTTTGGCTCCCGTCCCCCTCCCCTTCCTTCTCCTCCAGTTGGAGAATCCTTGTACAATCCAAAACTTTATGGAATACAATTTTTTTTTTTTAAATTTAACTGTGCATTTTTAACAAAACACATAGGGGGTAATGTATAAATCTTCTGCCCAGAGTAAAGCTGGGCAACTGGCATTCACATGGCATTAACACCACTAGATGGAGCCGTGGACCATAAGATTTTATATGCTCCTTGGCTCCATATAGTGGCAGCACTGCCATGCCAACATCATTCATCCAGCTTTACACTGGGTGGAAGAATTATACATGAGCCCCGTAGAGTTTTGTCCAATTGGACCAAGCGTCCTATTTATTTTTTTCATGTGACGTACACACATGCCAAGTAATGTGCAAGTGTATTGCTTTCAATACACATATTCCTTTTCAGATGTCGTGTTACTCCCCCTGCCAAAGCTTTATTTTTATTTTTTTCCTGCTTTTCATTTTAGAAGGACTGAGCCATATGTGTTCAGGCACTTTCCAGAGTCAGCATCTACTTTCGGGACTGAAATGCCACACTCCTATAAATCACGGTGCCAGATTCCAGAAAGTACATATTCACACTGTATAATGCCTGAACAGGGGTGGCTCCTTACTTCTGGAAAGCAAATATGATGGAAGCATTGTCAGGGGAAGTACTATGATCTCTGTGAAAAGTATACAAATGCATGCATGCTGTAACTGTAATACTCAGACATTTAAATAAAAAAATTAATATATCTGAAGCTAGGTCCCCTTTAAGTATTTAGTTCCAGGAGTTATTGTTTTGTTTTTTAAATGATATTGGGGCTATGTAGAAAGGACATTGTAGAAAGAATTTAGCAGAAACCATACTTGGAAGAACACTTTAAGATATCCAATGTGAACATCTTCCTAATTGTTTTAGTAATACATTGATATGTATATTGTATTTGCTGTACATATTTTTTGGACAATATTAAATTAAGTTAATTTTATTATTTCCTTGCTAAAAGGTCAGTTAAGACGTGGTAATGCCTGCTGATATCATGGCACCCAAAGACATCATGACAAACTCCCATGCTAAATCAATCTTAAACACTATGAACTCTTTGCGCAAGAGCCAGACGTTGTGTGATGTGACCCTTCGTGTAAATATGAAGGATTTTCCTGCTCATCGTATTGTTCTTGCTGCTTGCAGTGACTATTTTTGTGCTATGTTTACCAGTGAGGTAAGTTGTCTCTTTTTAATGGACATCTTGTCAAAGTGCAATTATTTGCAGAAAAGTGTTTCTAGAGGTGTTTTTTTGTAGACCAAAACATTTTGATTAACAGATTAAGGAACTAGGTAATATTGCATAGAAACATTGTAATTTGAAGTATATAATACTATAGTATTGATTTGTTGGAGCTAATCATTTACCTAGGGAATAGTGGTTGCATATGTGAAGTTATTATTTATTTTTATTTTTTTTGTCTTGCTGTGTCTGCTATAAAGAGTTTCTTAGTCCCTGCCAAGGCTAAAGCTGACCATACACTGGTGGATGTCCACATAAAAAAAACTATCATCGATTTAACCCCTATTAACTATGATCAAACCTAAGTTCCAAAGACGAGCAAATTTCTACTGGCGTATGGCCAGCTTAAGGCTGACTATAGTATAATACCTTGGTTCTCAACTGGTGGGTCGTGACCCAAAAGTGGGTCGAGAAGCTTTGTTTAGTTGGTTGCTGCATGCCTTCCACTTTTCTAGGTGAGCGGCTCCTCAGCCTCCCACTATTACAGTACTGTTAGTTTTCGCGCCAAGCAGCCATTCATGCTGTCTGTTGTCAAGTGTCAGCTTGAGGTGGAGTGGGCTGGGGGTATGAACATGAAGGAGCTCCAGCCATACGAGCATTGCTTACAGATCCCTCATGTGTCCCGTAGAGGTGCCTGGACCGGAGTGACATCACATTCTCGCTCCCGCCACCTTTGCAGGGCGGGTAAGGGAGCTATACAAGCAATGCACATATGGATGGAGTTCTGTCACAGCAGGGCAGTCCACGCTGGACCCCAGGCTGAGATCCACTCTAGTTCTTGTAAGATAGGGAGACTGGGTGGACTTTAAAAAAAAAAAAAAGTGAGTGAGATTGTGTATGTATGTATGTTGGTGTTTTTGAGGGCTCATTCACACTGATACAGTGCGTTAATCGCATAGTGTTAACGCACTGTACCATACAATCGCACCTACCGGGCATTCTGTTGTGGGCGGTGTGTTGTGTTGCTATTCATTTGAATGGTACCTCAAACGCACTTTCCACCAACAGTTCGTACACCCGCACCGAAACGTGTGGCACCCATTGCAGTGCGACTTGGGCCACGACTTAAGTATAAATGTAGATCCTGAGATTACACATGTTGAGAACCACTGGTATAATAGATTCTCCACCAGCAACAGGCTATGAAGCTTACCTTACTCTTGTATTCAACTTGGTCAGTGATTAAAAGTCATGCATATGTGTTTAAACACTTTTCAAAAGCTATAGCATTTCTGAGTGATGGACTACTTTTCTGTGCTCATTATTGGCACCAGCGAAGATCTGTGGGGCCTAATAAATGCATCCAGCTATAAAATCAGTGTGGAATTGAACTAAGTATGTCCGTTCTGAACATGGTCTTTATCAGCTGCACTGGCAGCTGAGCAGGTATTTCTTGGCTTTAAGTTTGCAGCAGCTCATATGTGGGCCAAATTATTGGCCTCAAAGATTCAACATTTGCTTTTTTTTCCATGCAGATAAAATGCATTGCTATGTGTTCCTGTACTGCATATCAGTTCCAGATTTTCCTTTGGCAGTTACCTGTTTAGAACAGTTGCTGACTGAAGGTCAGTGAGGTTATTTGAAGACAAAGCTTGTTCACAAATCTAAAAAGGGGGTTTACATTTTTGGTCCATTTTTTTAAACCTATCAATATAGGATGCCTTTGCATATGTGTTTTGTTGCAGATAGATTATATGAAAAAAGTCCATGCTTGCTGCATTTTTGTCGCAGAGTCTAGCAAAACGCACCTCGCATAGGGATGAATATCAAGGCATGTAAGCCCCCATTCACACGGGCGCTATCCGCTCTGATCAACAGGTTATCTGTTCAACTGCTAGAGGCAGCAGTACGGAAGGGATTTCACCGTTGTCCATTAATTTTTTCCCCCTCCAGCTTAAGTCTGAATTTAGTTCATCTATGTTAGGCCTATGGGGAGTCGAATGTAAGCGGACATGTATCCATTTACATAAGCACTCCTCTGATCTGTCACGATTAGATCTGTCCAAAATGGAACTCTGTCCAGTTTTGATTTCCAGACCTAGACGAAGTCGGGGTAATCAGATGTAAATGGACACACATTTGTTTAGATCCGACTGCCCATAGACTAACATTGGGCATTCGATCATATCCACCCAAAAAAACTGACAGGCAGATCTAATCAGACCGCCCATCTGAAAGTGGCCTAAAATGCAGAAAAGTCATAGAGGTGTGAACATACCCGCATAGTTGGTATGTTTCTTTCAGAATACTTTGTTTTTAAAGAAGCTTTCTTTTTTCCTACTTAACTACAGCTATCTGAGAAAGGAAAACCATATATTGATATCCAGGGACTGACTTCATCCACCATGGAAATCCTACTTGATTTTGTGTACACAGAGACTGTTCATGTAACAGTGGAGAATGTGCAAGAGCTTTTGCCAGCTGCATGTTTACTTCAGCTTAAAGGTAAGGATGCCTCAATCCTTTCTGCGCAAATATGACAAGTTAAATTATATTTACTGAGAAAGTGAATTCAAGTTATGGATGCACCGATACCATTTTAATTTTTTTAAGTCCAAGTACGAGTACCGATACTTTTTCCAAAGTACTCGCCAATACTAATTACGGATAACTGTTTTTTTGTGTGTGTGTCAAGTGACCGTTTTTCTAAAACAATACAGATTAATGATTTTAGGACAGTGGTGGAGAGCCAGGGCCCAGTCACAGCTGCAACTGATGGTGTCTGTGGCAGAGCTACCAGAATCGCAAGCTTTAGAGGGACTATAAATCCCAGCGACAGATTATACAGCAGTGCAGAATACCACCAGCTATAGAGGACGACAAACCCAAGCAATACAGCAATGCAGAATAATATGAATTTACATTCTCTGTGTGGCTCCCCAGGGCTCTGCAGCATCTCAGGATGCAGTGAAGGGTCTGACCAGGGCTATGCAGGATCGCAGTAGGATGTGCAGGTTCTCACCAGGGCTGCTTATGGGTCTCTCCCAGGGCTGCGTGCAGGTGTCACCAGGGCTTCTTGGGTGGGTGCGATTCTTAACAGGGCTGTTCCAGATCTCCCCACGGCTGCTTGGGCAGGTGTGGGCGGCGGGAAGGAGGAAATGTATGGCCTGACCAGTGCTGTAAAAGAAAGCTGTTACAAGGTACCCAGCAGGCTGCCTGAGCTCCCCAGCAAGCATGGGATCTCAGGCAGCTGCTCATGTTTAAAAATTTTAAGAGCCAGCATTGGCACTTAGTATCGGGGCATTTTCTCGAGTACAAGTACTGTACTGCTATCGGTGCATCCCTAATATAAGTGATAACTATATAAGACTTCAGACATTTCACATTCATGCAGAAATACTTAATTTTTTAGTACTTTCCCTTTAGGATCAGATACACTGGGGCTTCAGTAATGGCAATAATAAAGGGGGGAAAAGAAATGGTAGAGAAAAAAAATACGAGGTAAAATGTCTGTTGCTTGAAAATTAACCTTTTAGCGATAGCAACTCCATTCAGCAGGCGATTTGAAAAATGGTAGTTCTCAGTCCATGGCCCCAAGTCCTTTTTACATTTCTGAGCTGTGTCATTAAGATTAGCCCAATAATTGATCATTTAATTGGATTTATTATATACTGATACTGCTCTTATCCAAGAGTATCTGTGCGGTTAGGCTGCTTAGGGAGTTCTCAATCTATTAGCAACTCACAGGCAAAGTTGGCTGGTGTAGCTTCAGGGGCCATTGTAAGTGCCAGGACTTCCCATATATTCCTTGTGGATGCACAGAGGCAGTGCTCCAAATACAGATAAGCCAAGTCAGTTACTGCTTCACCAGGAGTATATAAAGCACAGTTTAAGCCTCTTCATGCTGGTGTTGGCATTTTAACATCTGGGTTGATGTTAAACTCAGTGTGGATCCCACTCACCATTGGTTCATCTTCCTGGCCATCTGTTAAGCTGGCCAAAGTTTGCTCAATGGATGGCCCTGTTGGCTGCCTTCTTCCACCCGACATCCTTTGTTCACAAAATCGAAGGTACCAGACAGAAAGTTGTCGGATAGACGGTGCAGTCACTGTTCAGGTATTCTGACAGTGGCACACATGCTGCTATTTAGCATGGATGGAGGAACTTGTTAGATATTTATTGTTTAGCCCGCAGGTTGTATGGCCAGCTGTAGACTCATGTTTTCATATGTCATTTTGATCTGATCATATCCTTTCTTTTCTCCTCAGATGAAAGATGGGGCATCATATATGTAATAACAGCAATACCTTTCTCTTACAAAATCTGTGTGGATTTTAAACCTATTTGAAATAAGTTGTTTAGCTTATTGATGAAACAGTGTGCATTTAGTTTGGGAAATTTGCCAAAATGCTCTTTTTGTTTGAGGTATATGGCCATACCTGGAACTTTCCAAAGTTGGGGAGACTGAGATTGGGGAGAAGTGGGGGGCTGGGTAAAGGAAGGAGCCAAAAGGGGCACAGGTTGTGTCAAAATGGAGGAAATGGTGTAATAGCAGCAAGTATGGAGTGAACAGTGCCATAGTTACATAGTGGCAGGCCAGCAGGGGATTACATTATAATAAGGCCCTTTAAACAAACCGTGCTAACTTGACTATAGGGAGGCAAAAAAAAAAGGGCATTCTAGATGATACATGGACTACAAACGAGCAATTGTTGGAATGCATGTCCATGACATTGCCGTTACTACTTCTGTCATTCTATGGCATCAGAGCTGGAAGGAACTCTCTAGGAGTCTCCAGGTGAGTTTCCAGCTATGTGTTAGGCAGTGTTACACAATGATACTCACAGGAGCGAGTTTCTCTTTCAGAGCTTACAACAATTGCTTTCCTACACTTCTGACGGGACACTGTGTTCCCAATGAGAAAATATGCATATCCTTAGGTTGTCTTATAAATATAGCTTATCCTTTTTTATATGTTCTTTTTTGTTCTGAGTAAGCATCTATTATCTTAACTTTCTCCCCAGGTGTGAAACAGGCATGCTGTGACTTTCTAGAATCTCAGCTTGACCCTTCCAATTGCTTAGGAATTCGTGACTTTGCAGAGACTCATAATTGCTTAGACTTGATGCAGGCGGCTGAAGTTTACAGTCAGAAACACTTTCCAGAAGTAGTGCAACATGAGGAGTTTATGCTGTTGCAGCAGGAGGAGGTGGAGAAACTGATTCGATGTGATGAGATTCAGGTACAACACAGTAAATTGTGTACCATTTGATCTCTACTTAAAAAATCTTTCCACTTTTAGAGAGGAGAATGTCTATCTACATTTGCCTCCTCTGCTATTGTTGATCTATTGTTGACAGATCTGTGTCTTACAAAACCCAACTAATCAGCGGTCTTACTAGTGCTATTAAGCAGCCATGTTCAGCCTTCTTTAGAAACCCATCGGTAGGGAATTCACCCTGTGTCAAGCAGGCATAAGCAATAATCCGCTAACCTTTTGTAAAGCAAAGGGTTTCCAAGAGTGGCTAAAGAAAACCATGCCACTTTGCACTGTGGTAGCCATAGGACTGCTTATAAGTGCTGGTAAACAGTTGATCAGCAGCGAGGGGGCAAAAGTAGAGATTTTCCACTTCCTTTCTTTAAAGCTTCTAAAGCAATATTACTATTGTTGTTATTGCTTGTCATGCAGGTAGATTCAGAAGAGCCAGTTTTTGAGGCCGTTATAAATTGGGTGAAGCACAACAAACAGCACAGGGAGAAATCACTTTCACAGCTTCTTCAGTATGTGCGCATGCCTCTGCTAACGCCACGCTATATCACAGATGTCATAGATACAGAGGTACATAAAAGAGCTTCTACAGTAGTGGATTGTTGGTTTAGCCTTCCTGATTTTATCTTTTGCATACATTTATGTGTGTCTTTCTGCAGCCCCTGATCAAATGTAGTCTGCAGTGCAGAGACTTAGTAGATGAAGCCAAGAAATTTCATCTCCGACCAGAGTTAAGGAGTCAGATGCAGGGTCCTAGAACTCGCATGCGTTTGGGTAAGTTCAAATTATGTGACAGCTTTTCATAATTATGTATGCTAACGGAGCAACTAAGAGGGCATGCTTCATTCACCAAGACTACTTTTAACTGGTGGACTTGCGCACCAAAGTACATACGAAAAGTCTCATCTAAACTTTTAATAATACCCATCAGACTTGACGAATGTCGTTCGAAACTTCAATGGTTCCTGGGACAGGTAGCCGAAATTACTGAAAATTACCACTGAATTTTTAAAGGTTTAGCAGCAGACAAGTAAAATGGGGGGGGGGGGAAAAAAAAATGTTGGTTAAGATAAGTATTGTGTTCACCAAAAAAATGTAAAAAAAAACGAATTTGTTTGTTAGGGTCGTGTTTCACAACGCCAATTGTTCAAGCAAACCTATCATCCAATTCCTGTTTCTAGAGTAAAATAAAATTCCTACTTTAACACCTATAGCACAAGCTGGCTTTTTTTTTAACCTTTTTTTGTTTTTATATTTCTTACTGGGAGCCTGTATTAAGAACTAAGTGTTGCCAACTGCCAGTATCCTTGGTAAAAGAGTTTTATGAGGATAACTTGTAGATTTACTAGTCCTGCATTTTCACATTTTGCTTTTACAGAGTACATGGAGCCATGCGCATTTTACTAAACTATTACTGTGTATATTTTTCTAAGGTGCTAATGAGGTTCTTCTTGTCATTGGTGGGTTTGGTAGCCAGCAATCTCCAATTGATGTGGTGGAGAAATATGATCCCAAAACCCAAGAATGGAGTTTCCTTCCAGTGAGTTTTTTTTCCCTTCCCTCTGGTGATTTGAAATATTAATTGTAGTGAGCCTCAATGGTTTCACAATCGCTAGCATGCATGTTTTAAAAACAAGTAGTGTCCAGGGCTTTTATGATGAGCTATAGATATGGGACTGTAGACAAATGCATTGTAACAGTTTGTTATTGACACTTCCCATTTCTGTTACCGAGCCACATTGCAGTGTCAGTCATTCAGGCCCCATTAATATCAATTAATATAAATGGAGAGCTATGTGCAGGTGTAGTTTAGCTATACTTGACATTTTATTTTTCCTAATTGGACTGTACTTATTGCCCAGTTCCTGATGTTCATACTGAAAATTATATACATAATAGGGTTGCTGTAGTTATCATATGCTATTAGAGATGACTGTATACAGGAAATAGTGAGCTGAGAGAAAAGGTTGTCAAATGATGGAACTATAATTGCTAGGTTTTTGGTTGCTTTGTCCATCTGCATGGCAGGTTGACTCACTCATTTGATCTTTATGACTTTAAAGTGACACTAAACTAAGTCAAAACCTAAAAATGCAAGTATCTTAACTGTTAACATAAATGTATCTTATTTGTGCATCACTCAGCTGTAGATCCTCAAATCATCTCTGAATTTGTGCTGACACTGCTTTTCTTCCTTCGGGAGGGTGGTTACTTTTGTTCTACATGGTCCCTGTGAGTGTTGTAAGGTAGCCACCAATTCAGAGAGGATTTGATGATCTATAGCTGAGTGATGCACAAAAAAGATACATTATTGTTAATAGTTAAGGTTTTAGTTAAGTTAAGTTTTAGTTAAGTTAAGATAATAGTTAAGTTTTAAACTCCTGAGTTTTTAGTGTCCCTTTAATGTGGAAATGTGGCCAGACTGGGTATTAAAGCATTTACAGCTTGGCTTTAAAACAAGCTCTCACTGACCTGTGTAGCTACAGGCACTGTGGAATAATTCATCCACAAGGTTTAAGGCGTATACAGGCACTGTGGAATAATTCATCCACAAGGTTTAATGCGTATACAGGCACTGTGGAATAATTCATCCACAAGGTTTATTGCGTATACAAAGGCAAGAAAAACCAGATTCCATACATCTCTGTAATACATGCACATTTCCCCATGTTTTATTCCTCTAAACATGCTGCAAGTACAGAAAGAATAAATGTTGATATGCCAGAATTCTAGTGTGCTCACAACTTCTTTAACATGACCACACGGTGTACTTTTGGCTCTGAATTCCAAAGCACATGTTGTCAGCCCTGCATACCTCATTTCTGATGGATTACAAACACTGCATACCTCCTTCTCTCTTTCTCCTCTCCACAATCCCTCCTTGGGCAGAGGCAGAGAGCACAGAAAGTTATCAGCTCACTAAATTTCTAACAAAATCTACAGGTATTTTTTGCACTTGAACAAATGCAACAAAATCTTCTAGTGGTGTATTTAGCAGACCACAAAAGAGCAAATAAGAGAAGTTCATCTTGGGGCTCATGTACACGTTGGGTTATACTGTCAGCAGCTCGCTCTGCTACTCTCTCCAAGCAGTACTCGGCAGCCTTCTAATCTCCTAAACAGCCATTCTGGAGGAGGGAACAGGGTGAGCTAAGAACTACTTTCAACCTAAGTGTTTCTTCTATGAATTGTTTCATAGTGCCTGCAGCTACAGAAGTCAGTGGGTGCTTATGTGAAAAGGTGCTTGATACAAAAAAATATGAATACCTCTAAATGTAGCTGGACTACAGGTTCATCAAAGAGAACTTTACCCACCAATTTAGGCATGCCAGCTGTCAAGGGTGCCAGGGTGCTTATTTCAGTATTCAACCAGCCTTTCAATCCCTCATATGGCTGGTGTAGCTGATCACATGTACAGCACCATGGCTACTGCAATCTAAATAGAGGCTAAGATCGCACCTTTCTTGACTGTGAGGGATATGACGTTTGTAGTTTCACTTTAGGAGTCTTCAAAGGCAAGATCTCAGCACTTGAGTTTCTGAGTAATGCTGAGGCCTTTTTGTTGGGGTCTCTCGTTCCCTCCTGATGTTTGCATTGATTGCATAATTGTTGTGTGTATGATACAGGAGAATATACAGTTTATCTTGCATATTAGATATGCAGCTTTTTGTGATTATGATATTACAGCAAACAACTTAAATTACCCTTTATTATTTTCCTACATACAGAGTATCACCCGTAAGCGGCGATATGTTGCCACAGTTTCTCTTGGGGACCGTGTCTATGTAATAGGAGGTTATGATGGGCGCTCCCGACTTAGTTCTGTAGAGTGTCTGGATTACACTTCTGAAGAAGATGGTGTTTGGTACTCTGTGGCTCCAATGAATGTAAGAAGAGGGCTGGCAGGAGCAACCACTTTAGGAGGTCAGCAATAGATTCTTGCTCTCCTATACTTAGACAAATTCAAAAGTATAGCCAGTCCAGTAGACCTGCGTGGGAATTTGGCTGTCCTATAGTGACACACCTCAACACTGCAAGTGGGAGCTATTTATCATCATTTAGAATACCTGCAGTGATAAATGTTACTGAGGTTGAAGTGCTATGGAGCCCTGTCGCCAAAACAAGAATTAAAAAAAGTCCTTGAAAAGAAGCGTATTACCTGGCTGCAACTAATTATTTTTATAATCAATTAGGTGGCCAATTTTTTTTTTGTTTTGTTTGTTTTTTGCTCTAATATTCAAATTAAATACTAGACATGTGCATTCAGATTTGGACGAACCTACAAATCAATGAATTTGGTTGATTTGGCAGTTTGTCCGAATCCAAAATAACAAATTTTATTATATGCCCCAATATGCTAAAACTTTTTTCGGGCATACATAAATTCGTCTGCAGAACGCACGCAGGCGTAGCGCCATCTTTGATTATATCTTGGTATACACCAAGATGGTGGTGCCCGAACATAGAGGTGCCCCTATCTTGGTATATACCAAGATGCACTCAAAGATGACGACGCGCCACCATGGCCGCCGCTCGTTCTGCATTTTCAGTGTGCGGTTTTGGATTCGGAGGCTTGTTGCCTCTGAATCCGAAACAGCAGAATATTTTGTTTTCCTTGCTGAAATGTTTTTCATTTGTTTCATCAGAAATTATTTTTTTTTTTTGCCGTGCACATGTCTAATAAATACCATCCTTTAATATAAAATAAAATACCCAAATTCAGTGTTGCAAACTTCAGAATAAAACTGCTGCACGATTTTTCGCAATCGTACTGCCCTGGAATGCACGACATTGTAGTACCATGTGTTCCAGTGCAGGCAATCACACTGAGGGTGTGAAGCGCGTTTGGGGTGCCATTGAAATGAATGGCACTGCAACGCACCTCCATGCAGCATAAATGGTCAGGCCAAAACTGAAAATACTTTTTTTTTTTTTTCTCCCCACTTTATTTAAAAAATGTTTTTTTTTTTTTTTTTTGTGTTGTAAGCACATGGCGCTTGAGTAGCTTCAGCCAGGGAATGACAGCTGCCAGTGGCAAGATTCCGTAGACGGCAGCTGAATGGATCCTTTCTTTAAGGAGCTTCTTTAGCAAAGCAATATGTTTTGTTCTTGGTTAACTATAGTGAATGTATTTATTGTTTTACCTCCATTAATGAGCCCATATTTGCTTTTTCCAAGACATGATATATGTCTCAGGTGGATTTGATGGAAGCCGCCGACACACAAGTATGGAGCGCTATGACCCTAATATTGACCAATGGAGTATGTTGGGTGACATGCAAACAGCACGGGAAGGTGCAGGACTTGTTGTGGCCAATGGAGTAATTTATTGCCTTGGTGAGGGACACTAGAAATCTCATGCTACACTACAACAAGCACTGCTTTTTACCTCTGTGTTACCTCCTTTTTGTTTTGCGGTTTTTAGGTGGTTATGATGGCTTAAACATTTTGAGCTCAGTAGAACGATATGACCCACATACGGGTCACTGGAGCCATGTGACTCCTATGGCAACCAAGCGCTCAGGTATTCAGACCTTTAGGTTTTAAAATGGATATATATATATATATATCTCTTTGCTGTGGAGCTTACATTTGTTTCTTTTGACCACAGGTGCTGGTGTGGCCCTGCTAAATGATCACATATATGTGGTGGGAGGCTTTGATGGCACATCTCATCTATCTTCTGTGGAAGCCTATAATATTCGTACTGACTCTTGGACGACGATGACTAGCATGACCACTCCGCGCTGTTATGTTGGGGCTACAGTACTACGTGGGAGATTGTATGCCGTTGCAGGGTGTGTATTTTTAGGACCTTTCAGTTGCTTGTTGTTCTTTTTATTTTAATCAATAAAACAGGTTTTATAGATTGTTTGTTTTTAAAATAATCGATAATACGAAATCACCTGCACTACATACAGCGTACAGACCTTGGATGAAAGGTTGGTGCTTGAAGTGACAACACGGATGGCACCGTGCCAGATACAGTCCATAATAGGTCATAGAGTGCTGGTGACTTCTATGTCACCCAGAAGAAGGGACCCTGCGTGGCCCCGAAACGTTGGCTGTATGACGCATGTGACAATTTAATAAAAAGTGCTTTACTTCTTGCACATATCATCGAGTGCTGGTGACTTCTATTATGGACTGTTTTTAAAATAATTTACGGGTTTCAAAAACGTTACTGCATGTTACGGAATTAAGCAGAAATGCTTCCTTGGAGCCCTATTTGTGTGTGTGTGTGTGTGTGTGTGTGTGTGTGTGTGTGTGTGTGTGTGTGTGTGTGTCTCCATTGACCAAATCCAGTCAGGGACTAGATCAAGAATTCCTAGGTTGCAACAATGTTATTTGATGATGTGGATGACATTTTCATTCACTGTGGAAGCAGCTAATGATTATGTAAGTGAGGTGAACGCATTGTCATTCACATTTTTAACAATCGCAAACCTGTGAAAAAGTTGGCATCATGCTAATTTGTGCCCTCAGCAACCTGACTTAATATTACGCTAACAATACACACAAACTGTTTGTTTGTTTTTCTTCCCCTGCATACCTTGCAGTGTAGCATCGAAAGGGAAATAAAGCTCTCCTAAAGTAAAACACATGTGTTAATGAGCTTTATCATTCTGCTACATTACCTAAAAGTCAAGTTAATGTGATCTAATTTTAATCAGCTGACTTTGTTTATTATATAGATATATTGTGTGTGTGGCAATGGGAAATATTCCAGGAAAATGCATTTAGTTTTTATTAAATATTTTTTTTTTCTATTTTTTAACCAAGAAAATTAAAAAAACAATGTTTTTTTTTAATTAAAGTCGTATTTGTCACGAAAAATTATGATGTGTGATACGTTAGGGTGGACAACCAAAATTATAAATGCTGCAAAACCTAAGACTTCACAGAAATACAAAAAAAAACACTCTAGGATTCAAGGAGATTTAGGATGAAAAGGCCTGGGGGCTGGAATAGTTAAGGAAAAATGGGGTGTTTATGAAATCATAAATGTATCATTTAGTAACATTATTTCTACTTTTAATAGGGGTTTTCCACTACTCTGACTGAGATGCATGCATGATTCCAAGTTCTTTGACTGGAATGGCCAAGACATTGGAGCTCCATGCATGAATCCAAGCTTGTTTTGCATGATAAAGTAATAAGGTCAGCATAAATAATATAATTATACCTTTTTCTGTTTTTTTTTTTAGGTATGATGGTAATTCTCTGCTGAACAGTGTTGAATGCTATGACCCTGTTATTGACAGTTGGGATGTAGCTACATCTATGGCCACCCAGCGGTGTGATGCTGGAGTCTGCGTCCTTCGGGAGAAGTGAGAGCAACAACTGTGAAGTTGGGCTTGCTTGACTCGGAACTGTGCTGCTGCTGCCTGCATTCTACAGGAAAATGTGAAAACTACTCTTCGATGTTAGCGTAACGATACGGATATGCCTTTCCACTGCCAAGCCTTACAGAAACTTTCACTAGCACCAGATGCTATACATTCTGAAGGAGATGCCTTGCCAATGTGCCACAACAACCGCGTGAGCTTTAATCTGCAGTCATAAGGATGTCCGGTGGGCTTTCAGTGGTTTTGGGTGCCAAGAGCGTTGCAAAGTGGCTTAAACAGTCCAGTATACAAACTCCAAGTGCTGGCACCATCTTAAATGACATTATTCTGTGAAAATTACAGACCCTTTGGTGGGTGATCGAAGCTGTGTATAAATCTGCCACTAAATGCCAAATGACTTCAGCACAACGTTACTTTTGGAAAGGAGTGATACATTTCAGGAGCTTTTTGAATTTACAAGTTCATTTATACATATGTTGTAAAGTAAACAAGATGCTGAAATGTGTACTGCCTGTAGCATTCTTCATAAAGTGTATGTCCATCCATAATATATATATTTTTTGTTTTGTATACAGTGGTAATGGATTAGAAACACTGATTGGTTTTACTTCTTTTTGTGACTTTGTTAGAGAGATTTCCACTCACTTACTGTCCCAGTGCAAATTATTTTACCAGACAGGAGGTAAGGTAAAATGTCTGACAGCAAGACAGGCAGAAATACATTACAATAGGTTCCCTGTCAGCGTTTACTTCGATCTTTGTTCCTGTTGCACGTTTTCCCTAACTTCGTGTCTGGTGAAACTGTTGTCACCATGACAGTAATTATGAAAAAAATATATCTACTGGAGCTGACGGGCTTTAATTATTTACTTTTCTATCCAAACAAAAAAACCAAACACCATTTTGGCTGGACATACACTTTTTTTTTTTTTTTTTACATTACAATCCTACTTTTAACATAAGTGGAAAAAAGCATAAATGATTCTTCATTAAGTCAAGAAATGGGATTACTGTATGCAAACTTTGTAACATTATTTATAAAGAACATGTCCCCAATGTTAATGTTTGAAGCAAAAGGGCTGCTAAGAGTTTGTGTATGTAACTAAACTTTTTGTATAGAGTGTGGAAGGGTTAGAGCCTGCAGAGGAGAATCACCCTCATCATAGTCCTAGTGACTGGAAATCCAACATTTTTCATTTCTCACCAAAACGGGAATGGAGTGGAAATCTTAAAATAGTTAAATGTGTGCTGGTGACAGCTGTCTAAGAGAGGATATCCCCTGACTTTGGAGAGATCGCTTCTTACTTTTTTTTTTGCCTCCAGTCTCCAAATTTTGTCCGTTTTATAGGACATATAACCCTTTTCTTTAATTAACTACTTCTCCTCCACCCCTACACAATCTAACTTTCTGACTTGGAGGAAGTGGGGAGGAGAACACAATTTGCCACAAATCCTTTGCAATTGTTCTGTACCACCGGTCCATGCAAGCATCCCTTCCAATCCACATTAATGGTTGGCACACCCACCGAGCATATCCTTTATTTATACCCGTTACTTTCATTGTGAGATCCCAAGTTTATCCCCTTTTTTTTTTCTCTCTCTCTTAAACCGGGCCTTGCATGAAAATGGAAGGTCTGCTCTTGTGAAAGCCCCTCAACCCCCCCAACATCAGATCACCTACAAAGGTGATTTAAACTAAAGCTGTTACGGAAAAAAAAATATCTCAGCCCCAACTTCTGATGCTTCTGAGTGGCATGGGTTACTTCACTGTGCATCCCCACTGCCTCCCCTGAAAGATGGGCTCTTAAAATCCTGTAAGAATAAGCCTCTGCAATGGACTGGAATGCATTCTCTGGGGATTTTAAGCCCCTAGTTATCGCAAGAGGCAGCAGTGAGTTAGTTTCTGGGGAATGCAAGAGCGTAAGTTCCTATCTTTTAGATCTTGGAAAAGAAAGTTTCCCTTTTTAGCACAGAGGATGAGGACGGATATTTCAAGTGTCCTAAATTAGATGCTCCATTAGCTCAGGTTTCAAAGAAGGCTGGTCTTTCATTTGAGGATGCTGGTAATATAAGGGATCAAATGGACTAAAAAGGCGGAAGCCCTTTTATGTAAAGCTTGGGATGCTAATGCGGCAGCTATGGCACGAGCTGTTGCTGCCACTTGTGTAGCTAGAAACGGATTTAGGGTTGGAAAGGGTATCCCAACATCTCTCCAAGGTTGCACTGGCAGAACAGATTTTGGAGTCCCTACATGGCTGATTCTTCAGCAGAATCATTAGGGCCTGTGCTAGGTCTGGGACTCTTCTAAATCCTGCCAGACGCACCATTTGGTTATAGTCCTGGGAGGGAGATGGGTCTTCAAAGGCTAGACTTTGTAGATTGCCTTTTGAAGGAAAGTTAGTGTTTGGGTCTGGTTTGGATGAGGTACTGGCCAGATCATCAGAGAAGGGTAAAACATTTCTTGAAAAAAGGAGGTTTTGCAATGCAAGGTTTTTCCGTCCGCCACAAGCACAAAAGATCAGGCTAATAAATCCCAGACTCCCAGAAAAGGCTGGCCATTTAATAAAGAAAAAGTAAGAGGAGGTTTACTCTTTAATACTACAGAGCCCTCCAATAAAGATGCCAAATGGCTATTTGAAGAAGGTGGGGGGAAGGATTTCCCTTTCCTTCCTCAATGGGAGATGCTTTCGGACAGTCTGTATATTTTGGATCTATTAAAAGCAGGTTATCACCTGGAATTTCTTTCTGTTTCTCCTCAAACCTTTTTTTTCTAACCAGATTAGCAAAGGATTGTATAAAGGCTTTGGCCTTCTAGGGTTGTATTCAGATGCTTGTATGCCAGAATGTGATGGTTTTAGTGCCAGAAAATCAATGGTTTTAGGGATTTTTTCCCATGTGTTTCTAGTTCCCAAGCAGGGAGGAAAATTCAGAATGATCTTAAGACTGAATCGATTCTTGATCTTCAAGAAATTTCGAATGGAGAAAATTTACTCTGCAAAGAACTCTTATCAAGTCAGTGCTTATGATCAATCCGGATCTAAAGGATGCATATCTTCACATTCCAGTTTGTTGGGAACATCAGAGGTTTCTTCGAATTGCGGTACAAACAAATAGAGGATTTTCTTGCTGGCAATTCCAGGCTCTTACCATTTGGCCTCGCTGCCGCTCTGAGAATTTTTACAAAGGTTTTGGTGTAAGCCGTGTCTGCTTTGCTTCTTCAGTGTGTCTTCCTGATTCCTTACCTTGATGATATTCTGATTTATGCATCTTCAGAGATGGAAGTGTTAAGTAAACTACAAAAGGCCAGGGAGTTATTGAAGACATTAGGGTGGATTCTGAACATAGAAAAATCCTCCCTCATTCCTACCCATTCCATAGTTTTCTTGGGCTATTGAATAGATTCGGTGGCTCAAAGAAGGTTTCTCACAGAGGAAAAAGTTTGCAAGATTCTAGATATGTCACAGCAGACCATAGCCAAAGATTATGTGACTCTAAAGGAAATCACGAGATTGTTGGGAGTCATGACATCAGCTGTCCAGCTCTGGATTGGGCTCAACTACATGCAAGACCATTACAGATTTTCCTGTTGTCCCAGTGGTAGAGGAAAAAGGAGACCATAGACTTCAGAGTTCAGCTCCCGTTAGAGGTCCGCCGCTCTCTCGAATGGTGGACAGTTCCAAAGAGGCTGCAAGAAGGCAGGTTGTGGTACCAAATCAGTCCAGTCAGTGTCACCACGAATGTGAACTCTTGGGGCTCATGCTCAAGGGCCTTGGCTGCAAGAACTGAGCAGGGCATCATCAAATATGAGGGAGATTTTGGCAGTGCGGGAGGCATTAAAAGCTTTTCACTCCATCTTAGCGGGTCAGGTGGATCAGATTTTTTCAGACAACTCCACCACAGTGGCTTATTTGAATCATTGGGGTGGCACAAGATCTCCAGGCCTATTAGCAGTGGCTCAGCAGATTCTTTTTTGGGCAGAGGAGAATATCCAGTCTATCTTGTCTGTGCACATAAGAGGTCAGTTCAATGTGAAAGCATACTTTTTAAATCGGAGACCTATTCATCACAATGAGTGGGAACTGAATCAAGAGGTTTTCAGTCTGATAGTTGACAAATGGGGTCAACCGGATATAGATTTGTTTGCAAGTAAGGAAAACAAGAAAGTAAGTTCAAGAGCAAATGAAGGGGGCTTATTGGGCATAGATGCACTAGCTCAAGATCGGGTTTTCAACCTAGGTTATGCTTTTCCTCCTCTGTCCTTGATCATTTAGATTTTACAATACTTGAATCAGGCAAGATATTTTCTCATACTGATAGCTCCTCGGTGGCCCAAGAGAACCAGGTTCTCGGATCTTCAGAGATGATCCGTTCACCCCACCCCCCTTGGGAGCTCCTGTCCAGGAGGAATCTTCTCTCCCACGGCCAGTTCTACAGCCAAACCCAAATTCTTGAAAGGGGCTTGTTACAAAAGAAGGGTTGTTCAGACAAAGTGGTAGATACTCTCCTTTTCCAGTAGGAAGTTGGTGACTAGGAAAATCTACAGTAAGGTTTGGAAGATTTCTTTTCTTGGTGATTTTACCAGTAACGGTATATCTGAGAATCTTCCAGGGTGGCAAGCCTAGGACTTCCCACCCTGATCTATGTCTGATGGTGTTTTCATTGAATGTTGGTTAATTTCCCTATTGCACTAGTGGAGGTAGTCTACTTTTATCTCGACTGAGGGACGAGGGGGGTGGGAGGGATTTTTAAAGTTTGTTCAATTTTGTGTTTCCTGGAGAAGGAGGAAGATTCTCAGAAATACCGTTAGCGTGAAGTCTAACAAAGGATTTTGTTCCTTGCACACTAAAGCCAATAAAATCATGTTGACTTAAAAAAAAAAGAAACAACCTGAAATGGGTCGTTAACCATTCTCTACTCTATACAAAACTAGAGAAAACAAATTTGGGCTTTGCATATTCTTTTAAGATCACACCATAAAATGCCTACTGTTATTTTTATTAACCAGAAAAGCTACTTATTTTATGGCTAACCCTGCCAATCCACGCTTAAAGCTGCCGGTAGAGGAACTCTAACAGGACCATGGAATGGCTAGAAGCAGAGATCAGGACACAGAAAAGGCTTTGCTGGCTAAAAATGGGAATAGCTGGCATATTGTGGCATCTTCTATTGGGCGTGACATTTACTCTTAAAGTTTGAAAGTAAGATTCCCTTTAAAAACATTTGCCTATACGAAGGGTGGCCATACACTAGTATATTTTTGAAAGAGACTTTCTATTAGTTGATGTGGTCAAAACGATCATCCATTTTGAAAAAGGTCAAAGGAGCAGGATGGAAAATTTTAATGAAATTCTAACAATGTATGTGGTTTTCATTCTGGAAACTCCAGTCATTCCAAAATTGAATGTTACAATAAAACAACATTTTGTTCGATATTCGTCAAGT